TCCTTTCAAATGCATATTTTGCTCTTATTACCTGCATTAACAAGGTACATTTGTGAAGAAAATCCATGTTGGAATTTTAAGATGTGCTTTGGGCTGCATTACTGAATTATGGCTGAATTAAAGGGAATTTTCTCAAAAAAAATAAAATGTACCGAAAAGTTCCAAAAGTAACAACCCCCTGAAAGTAGCGACCCTCCAAAAGAAGAGAGAAAAGTTAGCATGCAAATCCCAATCAAAGGCTCCTAGGAGAGAGCTCATGGATGAATTGAATTAGTGTAGAAAAGACAGTTCAATAATCAAAGAAAAACATATAAATTTTTTTGAACGGTTCATTGTGTACGGACTTACCAAAATACAGCGCGACTCGAAGTATTCGATTGCATGTGCACCTGAATATTCTAGAAACTTGTTATCAGCGCAGCATTTCTACTTACAAAGCAAAGATCATTTTTAAAAGCAATTATTGACGCTTTTTGGTTGTAAAAAAATTTGCTTTCTCGTGTGACGGTCAAACACTTTCCCAACGACGGTGCACTTTCTTGTAAAATAGCCAAGTTTTACATACACGAGTTTTCAGAAGTTTTAAACCGCGGTTTTAAAAGTGCGATGCTTTTAAATAAATGTTTCCACATGATGAGTACGTACCGGTTGGTATATGCAGTACGTGCTATATCAAATACAGAATACAGGCATTTATGGCTAAATTGAACTGCTTTAGAACGCGCTTTTGATAAACACGAGTACGTGCTCTGACCTAGCCAAGTAATTTAAACGCAGTCGAAGTATCCGATTGCCTTTCTCCAACTGAATGTTCTAGAGACTTGTTTATACCAGCGCAGCATTTCTTGTAGAAATTACATTAATAGCACTGCTAAATGGAATCACCGACAAACAAAAGCCTACTTCAAGGCAAAGATCACGTAAGAATTCAAGCAAAGTAGCGTAACGCTTGTTGGTTCTAAAACCTGTGCTTCTAGTTGACCCAACATTAATTCATTCCCCTGTTTGCATACGAAGACAAATGGTCAAACGGATTCGTCCAGATAACTGAATAAACCACCGTTTGTTTGCAGTGATTATAAGGCTCTCTGGCTTATTCGCTTTTTCGCTGAACGAAATCCCATCGTCACAGTCGTCAGGCTGCAATAGCTATTTCACACTCCTGTTGATCGCATCTTCTCCATGTCAAGTATAATATCGGGAACAAATGTGCACAATTCGTCCAAATATACAACAATGATCCACGCTCAATTATTTCAATGCCCTTTTAACAATTCTAAGTCCATTTCTTGCGGACGATATAATCAGTGCTTTAGAATATTTCCATTTATACAAAACCCATCTCTATTATTGATGCGTCAGGAAAAAAAATTCGCCTTACTAGTACCCTCTAGAATATTCCAAACATATACGTAAAAGGCACCTGGAACAAAAGTAATACTAAGTAGGGGAGGTAGGAGTAACGTGTTTAATCTGACTTTAATGAATAAATTAATCAGAATCGAGTGAGTGAGTGAGTGAGTGAGTGAGTGAGTGAGTGAGTGAGTGAGTGAGTGAGTGAGTGAGTGAGTGAGTGAGTGATCGAGTGCCATTCGAGTGCCTCCAAAAGCCCATGGCATGACTACGTCATCCATGAGCTAAAAAGTAGCGACCCCAAAAAGATAATGACCCTTCGAAAGTAGCGGCTATCTTTAAATCAAGGAACGGTGAATCGGGGAATGGGAATGGGAAGGGGAATGGCAATGGCAATGGCAATGGGGAACGGGCAACAGGGAACGGGGAATCTTTAAAGTGGGGAATCTTCAAAAGCGGGAATCTTTAAAAGCGGGAATTTTTAAAACGGCGAGGAATCTTTAAAATGGAGAATCTTTAAAACGGGGAATCTTGAAAAGCGGGAATCTTTTGTAAACGCTTTTATAATCGAGGATGATTGTATAAACCCTTACTTTTGCTGATTATTGTAAACCGAGTTATCTTTTACAGGCTGGTGTGAAATCAGTCCTTGCACATGTCCAAGTTCTTAGCTGAATGATTTTGAAAGCGTTGGTCTTGAAAAAGTTTGAATTTGACAGAAATAGTAGTCTGTTTCAGCCAATCAGTTGAATCATGTTGAATGATCTAAAAACGCCCGCGCTGTCAAAATTTGTTGTTGTAGTCATGTTTTTCGTGTCTGTTATTAACTATAAAAATTAAAATGCAATTATTTTTTTTAAAAAGCACATGATTTCCCGGCCGATAAAAATCATTTTAATGATTAAAATTAAAAATTAAAATTTTAATTTTCCGACGAGCGTGTACGTCACTTTTTTATTCGAGCTTCCCCCCGGCATACGTCCTTCAATATTGAGCGATCCGTCCCAAAAGTAATCTGCAATTTATACTCCGAAGAGAGAAAACTGAATTTCTTGTTATATATTTTCTCTAAAATAAGAGTGATTTTTGCGATTTTTTAAAATTATTTTGCTCAATTTTTCTTGGCGATCGCTCTTAAAAAGACTGTGGTTACCACCGCTCAGCTACTACAATTTGTAGCTCGTTCATCTATAACCTATTTGCAATGTTCACTCTAATTTACAGAGAGTGCCCGTAATGGCACACCATGCCAGTTGGTAGTGTTTCTTGTGAAAGCCATCCCTCTCTGCTCTGCGTCGTACAGAAGAACGCCTTAGCGGCATCGCAATGATGCTTATTCATCGTTGAACAAACTACATGCCAACGCCAAAGGATATTTATGAACGAAAATCAAACCGTGGAGACATCTTTTATAGGTTAGTTAGCCAAACATCGTGCAGTTTTGTGAAATGTTTAGTGTACTAGTGCTTGGATATACGGTGTGTTTTAAATTAAAAGGACCTCGGAAATAAGCACTTGTAAGCACTGAAAACACACTTGACTTTTCACACTTATTCGAGTCGATTTTTCGGAAACACACCTCATGACAAGTGCTGAAAATAGCGTTTCGGAGCCCCCAGATCGTTTAACAACCGACATGGTAATTGCGAGAACACCAGTGGTGTGTCTTTGAGTAAGGTGTCTGTTTTCATTTTCTAGCACTGTTTGGCTCTGCTGGCTTCGCGTGTCGCCGCTGACAAGCCCCACAAAAATCAAATCAAGCTATCCCCTTAATAAAATGATTAACCAGTTTTTTTTCTTGGTGTACCCCGGCGTTGCAGGATTAAAATATCGAGTCGTCTGTTGCTTCGATTCGTGGAAACCACAGGTAGAGAATATTTCACGTCAGTAGGGCAATGACTCATTAAATCTCACAAAAATAAAAAGGCAGTTTCGGTTATAGAAAGTGCGTAACCCAAGATCAGGCCCAATTTTAGCAGTTGTCTTACATTCTTCTTGCCTGTCGGAATGTTATTTACAAAGCGAAACGAAAATAGAGTCAGGTTAAAAATAGTAAGCTCGCGGTGGATGATGGGAAGACAGAAAAAATGGCTGTCTCTCTTCTTCTCTTTTCCCTTCCCATTGTCCCATGCGCGCCAGTCTTTTTCCCTCTCCCTAGCCTCCGAGACCTTTACAGGGGAGAAAGAGGAAACTGCATTGGATACCAAGGTATTATTTTACACTAGTTAATAATAAAGGCAAACAGTACTAGATTCTTCTTTAATCAGTACTAAAAGCATCAATCAATAAAAGCACAGAAAATTTCAACCTAACTTTACCCTGACCAAAAAGTAACCATAAGGACAACATTGTTTTGCATTTTTCTTAGAGTGTTGGAGCCCAGTTCATACAGCCACTGTTGAGCCATTAAAATTTGGCAGCCAGTAGACCCTTCCAATCATTTTTCAACTTTTGATATGGACAAGTTAAAGAAAATCTTTTAAAACCACTGGAAAGAGCCCCTTTAAATAAGTAAAACTGCCAAGTTTGAAAGTGATATGTCTTAAGTGAACAAATGTACACATATAGCTGTGCAATGTAGTGAAATTTTACACACATTTGTTTGGAAGAGGCACCTCATCTGTAAATTTTCGCGACTATGAAGAGATGCAAAAGCATTGTCAATAAATAAATGTAGATGTAGATGTAGATGTAGCTATATTTTGGCTAGTTTTCAACAAATCACTTTCAAGCTTGGCAGTTTTCTAATTTAAAGGCGCTCTTTCCTTTGGAGTCCATGGATTTTACCTAACTTGTCCACGTCAAAAGTTGAAAAAAACTGTGGAAAGGTCTTTTAGTAGGGTATGGTGATATCCTTTTCTCAACTGGTTCCTTTTCTCATCACTGTCAAAATTTAACATCTTAAATAAACTAAGATCAATCATGACTACCACACAGGCTGTTACATTGCAAAATCTGTAAGCGACTTAATGAGAAAAGCCCACAAGTGAGAACCTGGTTTTTAAGAACCTGTTAGGTTGAAGTTTGCCAGTTAGGCCTCCACTATACAAGAACCTGTTTAGCCTAAAATTTGAAAAAATAAAAAAAAAATTCTGCACACTTGGGCAAATGGAATAAATTAACATTCAGGATACTCTTTGGAGACAAATGTGCTTAATGACTCTGACTTCACTAATTTAGTAGGTAGATTTGATATAAGGATTAAGCTGAATACCACTAATTACTTTAAGCTCCAATGTTTTTTGTTTGTTAAGAAAAGAAGAACCCATTTTAAAAGAACCTGAGTAGCTTAAATTAGTGCTAATTAACATTTATGTAAGAATCTGTTTAGGCTAACTAAGGAAAACGCAGGTTCTTGCTCACAGGTTTTTACTGCAGACACTGTCAGAAATATATCAATTTTCATTTGCCACTTGTTTGTCATTTCAAATGCACATTTTTTTTTTGCTCTTATCGACTGCATTAACAAGGAAATTTTTTAGAGGAAATCCAGGTTGGGATCTTTAGATGTGGCTGAGGGCTGCATTAATGAATTGCAGCTCAATTAAAGGAAAGTTCTCCTAAAAAAATAATGAGCATTTTGCCAGGTTAATCAATTTGTGGTTTACAGCAGTGTACATGTTTCAAAACATTACCCAACCTGTGCTTTAAATTAAAACTTTACAAGTGTTTAAAATTCCTCTTGAAATTCTGAGAGGAGCCAGAACAGCTCGAGGAGAGTTAAGAGGAATATCTGCACAATGCTTCCACTCATTCTTGTCAACATCATAGACCCTCAAGCAATAAACATTGGAACTTTCTTGGTTCCACAAACCTGTAACATAAATGGCTCCCTTAAAACTTGTGGCACCTAAAAAGCGCTTTGGTGCAGATGTACTCTGAATGGCTGTCCAGATGTTTGTAATTGGGTCATACATTTCAATATTCCTGGAAGTTACATTCAAGGCTCGAGGGCTCGTACAGCCTCCAAATAGAAACACTTTACCCTTTAAAATAGCAGCATGAGAGTATCTTTTCTTTTCAAGAATTGAAGCCACTCTGCACCATGAGTTTGTTTTGGGGTCAAATCTTTCAGCAACATCCAGTAACTGATCTTTTGTCCGGCCTCCAATTGCATACATAGTGTCCTTGTCAGCTGCAACAGACAGTGAAGATCTGGAAATGTTCATGGGTGCAGCTTCCTGCCATAGGTTTGTGTCAGGATTGTACCTATGCACACAGTTTACTTGCTCATCTCCTATTTTCCCACCAATCACATACAAAAACCCTTGGAAATTCACTACAGCTACGCTACTGAGTGGCACTGAACCACCACTTAATGGTGTGACAGATACCCAAGAGTTCACCACTGGATCATATCTCTCAACTGACTGTTGAAAAGCATTGTTGACATAAAGTTTGCCGTAAGAAGCACACATGGTATATGAAAAGTTATGACTGGACTGGTCTGCAAGCTTAAATAACTTTCCTTCTGTGGGAAGGTAAGAGATTGTGCTTTTACTGCTAGAGATGACAAGACAATCTTCAGCTATCCTCAGACAGTTTCTAGGTGCTTGGGCAAAATAGCAGTCTTCAGAGCCAGATGAAACATCTTCCATTGCATCTAAGACCACTGACGTGCATCTTTCATCATTTTTCACCAAAGGATGAGGTAAGATTTCCTTGAAAACATAGTTGCGTGACAGGTACATCAGACGAACGTTACGAAATAATTCGAAAAATATTTCACGTTGGCGGCACTCTTTTTCTTCACACCACTTGACAATAGCCTGGAAAACGTCTTCTTCCCCCCTTACTCTTATTTCATCACTTGAAATCCACTCTTCCAGCTCTTCCTTGCTTAAGTTCAAAAAATCTTCCTGCTCAATTACACTCGTAAAGTGTGTGCAGATAAAATCTCTCGCTTCTTTTTGCAATTCTCTGCACTGATACTTAGCAGCCGAATAATATGCCAAAATACAGTTTGAAGAAGACAATGTCCGTGCGATAAAGTTACTTGAAGTCTCTGTCAGACATGGAATGACCAAAAAATCGGCTACCTCTAGAAGATCGAACGCGTTGTGTTGCGTGACGTCAACATATCCTGTGTACAGGTAATCTAACAATTCCTCCATCACAGCTTTGCTTGTGTTTTCTAATCTGATGACTCCTTCTTTCTTTTCTTTCATTTCGCAGTTAAGAGCATTGTAGAAGAACGGACTTGCTGCACATAAAACGATTCTGTGCGCTTTCAAGCGAGCTTGATCGTCACCACAGCCAACTTCTAAAATTACATCACAGAAATGATCGTTCCTTCGTTGAACATCGAGCCGTTTCATCATTTCCACGCAAAACTGTTGCACGTCAGTTTCCTTAATTGGTCCCCACGATATATCATTCATCATGATGTTGATTACGATATCAGTCCAAATGTCAACAAGACAACAGGAAAGAAAAAAAAAGGTTTCTGTCAGCCTTCCACAGGATCTACGAGCATCAACCAACGGCGCGAAAACCCGCGAAAATGCAAAAAGTGAAATACATGCGCATAATCGGAGGAGCTTTCCGCTGACAAGATTTCCCGGGGCTTTCTCAAGAGACAGTATTAACTTTATTGCCCCCGCAGGGCCCAGAAGGCGAAATCCCGAGGAGGCACTCTGATAACTCGCGCGTATATTAAGGAAGTACTTACAGTTAAAATAATTATACAGTCAGTATGCCAGAAAAAATCTCGAGATGGTTACGATGACGTAAAGACAGAAAATCCCGTAGGAACCGCTTAGGTACATTTTGTGACAGTTATTGTACAGTCATACTTCGATACTCTTTTGCGTTACGTGTTATCAGTGACATTCTGTAGAGCAGTTGTTTTGAAAGTTATGGACCAAAAGACACTCGTTTAGCGCAGATGAAGTTATAAGGTGCGTATAACTGTGTTAATCATAACTATAACAATATTGTCAAATCTGATTGGCTATCAACTGCCCTGATTTCAGCCTTAATTGGACAGTTTGATAGGACAGTACGCGTCATGCCTAAGTAATTGGACAGTACGCGCCATCACGCGCGCCCTTAAATGGCTTTTTTTCTCACTGCTAGAAAAGCAAAATTTCGAATTTCTTGTGTTTTGATTTAAAAAATAGCTTATTGTATCACAAATTTTGTTAAAGTTATGATTAATTGGTAACAGAACTTCATGTCGTCCAATTCGGTCTGTAATCATACTCGTTATTAAACAAATCGGACTCCCGCTACGCGGTCGTCCGATTTTGTTAATCACTCGTATGATTACAGACCGAATTGGACTCCACTCAGTCCTGTTACCATTACTTATTATTCGTTCAAAATATTTCCCCGGTTCTGATTGGCTAAAAGCACTCGCATAATTCACCATAACCATCTTCCATGACCAAATTTGGAAGAATTTTGCGTTTAATCTACCCGAATGACGTCAAAAGTGCAGCTTCCTTGCAGGTTAATGCACCTTTAACCGAGAAGACCAGGGGACGAGGTTGAGTTGTTTTCGTTGTGAAAACAAAAATGGCGGAAATTTCACTCGTTTCAAGAGTAAGAACTAGGCGAAATAATAGCTTAAAACAGGAAATAACACCCTCCTCGATCTCCATAATTCTTCATAAGATACTCAGCCTCATTCATTAATTGTTAAATATAGACACTTGGAAAGTCTGCAAGACCCAGGTTCACAAATATTTGATTGGAAAGACACTCTTTCTCTCTCTTTGAGCGGAATAAGACTCAGCGCCAAACAAGCAATACAAGTGAATCAACGGCTAGCTTATCACTGTGCTGACCCATTCCCTGTCCACAGATGTCCTTGCGCTATAAAGTTTAAAATAAGACCAGAATGTGCGAGCGTGATTTGATCAAACGTCCTTTCAATTTCTAAGGCTTACTTTCCGGCAAATAAAATGAACTGAATGTAAAATGTGAAAGAGAATTAGCGAAAAATTCAACTTCTGATTAAATCTTTTCTTATGGTTTCGAATAAACTATTCTCGAAAGTGAGAATGTTTTGATCAAAGCTGTGTAAATCGAACTGAAACTGTGCATGGAACCTTGCGTTTCCTGTTTTTATCTCATCTATTGTATGGAATACGTCCAAGAATGCTATTGACCGACAATATACAGAGCGGGGAAAGCTGTAGTGTCAACTATTACTAGTTACATTCTTCCGATTCTTTGTAGCAAAAGAGAATTACTCATTCTAAGCGTATCCGATGGGGCGTTTATTCGAGGTCAGCGTCTATTTCAAAATCATACATCCAAATATTAAATCAGTGACTACAGCAACCATCAATCATTTGAAAATCTGGAACATGTTTAGAGTTCCAAAGACCAAAATGTTTTAGAAAAATGGTAATTGTCTGGGTATGGGTGGGGCAAATAACCGAGTTGTGCCATGGGCAGCCCTCAAATGACAGGAAACCAGGGCGTAAAGCGCTCGAGACTGTTTCACACATACTTCTAATCCATAAAAAGCAATAAAACTTAAAGTTAAAAAGATCTAGAGTGATGCTTGTTCTTTAAATAGCGATCTCAAAGCTTTTTAACAGGGCGGTCTACCGGAGATTCTTCCTATGTGAACTAATTATAGGGCCATTTATACGAGGAAAAATAAGACGCGCCTTGAATAAGATGCGAGCATGTCTTATCTAAGACGAATACAGCTCGTATAAATGGTTCGCGTCTTATTTCTGTTCTTGACTCGTTTTCATGTAAGTGTTGCCCGTAGCAACGGTAATCCAACATGGCGTGCCAAGACTTAACGCATGCGTAGTATGCGTTCGCGTCTTAAGGTTGATTTCCACTGACGCGTTTTTGGCTACGCACTTTAACGCACGTAATTTTTTAATCACGTAAACAAAAAAGAGGCAAGATTTAAAGTGTTGAGATTAAATGTGAAGTTGAGCGAGGTTTAACTTTTACATTTTCTTGCGACCTTACATACATTGCCTCTATTTTATTTGCAAACGTAAATTTTACGCCCGTGCGCACGTAAAAAGTACGCGACAGTGGAAATCAAGACATAAGACGCGAAGGTCAGTTATACGAAGTTTTTCTCGTCTTAGCTAAGATGCGTCTTATCTAAGAACAGGTGTTGAGGGCTGTTCTAAAATGAGACGCGTCTTATTTTAGACGAAATGTGCCGTTTATACGAAAAGTTCGCGTCTTATTTTTCCTCATATAAATGGCCCTTATTAGCAGTATTGATGATACACACGTGCTGCAAGCTGAAAGTTTTAGGGCTTAAAATATCGTATCTCGTTGCTAGGTAACCCGGTTACACTATCCAAGTAAAAATTGAATTTCGTATTTCGCGCGTGTTGAACTGCCAAATGCATGAGGAATTTTTTCGTGCCATGAGAATATCGCTTCCTTTTCGATTTGTTTACGCTTGACTAAAATATAAAATTTACTGCGTAATTCCAGTGACAAGCCAGGGGTAGGGGGGAAAGGTAATTATAGCGGAAAGTCTTGAGAGGAAAACTCATGAAAGGTTAAACTTCTCTCGCTGTTCTTGTTGAAGCACTGAAAGCTATAGGCACACAAGGTTAAATAGTTTCTTCGCTAAGTCGTCAAGTTGAAAGCTTTTTCTCTTCCTTGTCATTTAATAGGAGCCGGGTCGAAACTCGAAATCGAAGTAGGTGATTTTTTATCAGGTTTACGCGAATTAGGTGTAAAACATTTTATTGGCTATAAGTGTGACATCCTGCCTGTTTGCTTGATTTTGGCGTACTCGGATAAAATCTTTGTTAAGCATGCGCTTTCAACACCAGGTCTAAGAGGCGTACACTTGGTACAGCGGGCTCAGTTATGATCATCGAATTATCAATAAACGGGATGCTCGCACTCAAAAAACTGTGGTCTGACGTGAGAAGACAAGATTGGCTAGTCCAAAAGTTGGGCTGCAGCGACTTCAAAGGTTTGACGACGCGATTCAGGGAGAGCCTCCTTTTCTCCTCCTCACTCGATCAAGAAGACAAAAGGAGGCCCTGCTCGCGGGGTGTAAGTGATCTGAAAAATGGAGTTTTAATTTTCCTTGCACGAATGTTTTTCAGGAATGACACCTTTTACGTGAAAACTCGTTTATTTTTGTGTGGGGAAATCTGAGTACAATCGAACCTCCATGTACGACCATCTTCCGCAAGCGACCACGACCATTTATCCAACTGTTCAAAGCACCAAACGTTTCCCAGTAATAACGCTATAGTTAAAACCTCTCGTAAGAGACTGCGCCCACTTTTTTCTTTTTTTAAGTTTTTTCTTTGTTTTTACTTTAATCTCTTGTGAGAACCTTCATGGAACTACACTGATATCTTAACTTAGAAATCGCTCTAATTCATTCTGAAAAGTGGACGTTTTTGGATCTCTTTTTGGAAGCGACGTCCTGTAGACCGATTCTCTCAAGCGATCACCTCCCGTAAGCAACCACTATAAACTCTTCGCATTTTGGGCAGCCGTTTACGAGAGGTTCAGTTGTATTTGTTTGCATGTTTGGTTCAAAACACGAGGTTTTGATTAAACATAAAAAGAGTAGATTGTATGGCCCGTATACATGTATGTCGTATATCACAAGAATTCGCCTTATTCTGCGTGAAAAACATTTAAAAAATTCATTATATGCAAATGAAATTCACTGCTAATAAGACTTTTTAGCTTGTAGCCTGTTGACAGACCCTCTGCTTTCTCTTTAGCGATCGTCGAGCTCGCGTATGAAAATAAAAACCGCGGCGGATTCCATTGACCCGCAATTAAAGCCCAGGGGGGTGGAGGTGAAGAAGGAGAAAACAGATCAGACGGTCTTTGGGAGCAACTGAAACTTGCTCCTTCCAGAAAAAGCAAGTAGCCATTGGCTAAACGATATATTGTTGAATAATTTTGACCAAAACAACACACGGGTACATACGGGTAACATACGAGTAAGTATCCGTGTGTTACTCGTATGTTGCCCGTATGTTTTCGTGTGTTATTCGTTTGTTACCCGTATGTACCCGGGTGGTGTTTCAGTCAGGAAGGACAGGAAGTCCCTAAAGGAAAACCAGGGAGAAAAAAGGCAATCCACCCATCATCTGTTATTCCTGCCATTCCTGAGGGGGTGACGGATGATACTTACGAGGAACAACGAAAGCAAATTGTCACTGAGTCGAGGAAGTCAAAGAAGAACTACAGCCTTATCAAAGAGTTGATGTCCTCAACATTTCCTATAAGAAGGCGAGAAGTTCTGACTCAGAATGTGCGAGTGTGGAAGATTATGCAAGATTTTCCAAACTTTGCTTCTAGCTCAGGAAATGAGGTACAGTATTGTTACAATGAGTAAATCTACTGTTTATGCTGTAAAAGTTCCTTTTTAGTTTTCACGGTACATTAATCTGAGCAGAAGCCAAGTCTAAAGATTATATTTTAGTACTACAGTTGAATTAACCTCTCTAATAGTAACGGACACTGAAGGGACACAGCAAAGCGTCCGTATTGGAGAGGTGTCTGTATAAAAGAGGTTACTATGATGACATCACTTTTATGACTCCACTTACAGTTTTAAGTGCTCAGTAGCTAAAACCATGCAGGCTCACACTCATCTTTAAACTGCATTTAAAGCCATTAATTAATTCACAGCACAAAGTCACTGTCTTTGTCAGCTACAGCACAAGTCTGAAAGCGTCCTTTCGCTATTTTGCAAGTGCAGTTAGAAGTAACCAGATCAGAATAGAAAATGCAATAGAAAAGATGTTTACACTATCTGTAGCAGGGTCTGTCATTAAGAGCCAGGGGCCAGGGATTTTCCCCGGCTACTAAAAGAGTGGCCCCCGGCTACTTTTATTGGAAAATAGAACAAAAATAGTCGAACCAAAAGAAATCCCTAGCCGTTTGATTTCCCACCTACTTGTTGTATTTACCTGGTAACTTGAAATCTTAGTGACAACCCTGCTGTAGTTATATTGAAACCTTCAAAAAGTTGGTTATGTTCTTCTGTACACCTTTTGCAAATCATTGTTTGGTATACAGCGAATGGGCTTTACATCACCTTGTATAGCTCATCAGCCAGACTTAGGATGGGATTCACCCTGTGCATGATCAGGAATCGGCCTTTCATCTGATCGCCACAGTGTCCGTAATAAAGAGGTTAAGTTTATATGAATTTAGTCTCTGAGGTCGAGATTTAGTGTTCGTTTTCCATATTAGAGAGAGTCGGTATTATAGACTGAGGTTTTTTGATTTTTAAGAAAATATATGAGAATTTTGTCGCGACATTGGAAACTGTCCGTAACAGAGAGGTGACCGTACTGGGAGGTTCGACCGTACTCTATTTTGCTTTGTTGTCTGCTGTTTTTAAGGTATTATTTGCTGTGCTATGTAAACCACAGCAAACAAGACAGGGTGAATCCAGTGTTCATGCTAAAGTACAGGCATATGCATGAAGCCTGTTTATCTCAGAAGGGTAAATGATCACTATTACAGTATTTGAATATAAACTTATGATATTAATGATTATTTTATTTCATTTTATTGCCATGCAGATCAGGGCCGAACTGGGCAGAATCCTGCAAGAGCCTGATATGTAACTAAATCTATAAGGGACAGATTTAAGGGTGGCTGGAGAGAAAGTCTCCTAACTGTTGTCAGACGTTCTGACAACAAAGAAGTCATGGCCATTATGGAGGAGGCAGAGGGAGTCGACATCATTGATGAAAAAGGTTAGTATGACATTTAAATGATAACAATAATTTTAATCGTATATGGTTAATTTTTTTAAAAAAATAGTTTAAAGGAATTGAATCTTTATTAGAAGTGAATACAGGCATTTTTTTTCCTGCAACAAAAATCCTCCTTTTAACCCACCACAGGTAATAGATAGTGACAGTCCCTTAGTTTTATTACTTTCCTCTTGTTTAAAGGCTTTTTGTGTGGGTCACATAAGACTTGACCAAACTGGAAATCATGCTTGAAAATTCTTTGGCACTTAGGATAGAAGTGCAGGTCACGTGAATTTAAGTGTATTCCGTCTTGATGGTAAACAGTCCCATTGCATAAGAAGCGTACTATTTTAAAAAAAAATTCTTTTACTGACTGTTGTGTCTATTTTTGTCCATTCCAATTTTTAGAAGTTGAAAACCGTTGCATAATGGCCTCACTGCCCTATTTATTGGCTGATAAACGGAGAGGGGCACAGATTTCTGCTGGCTCATTTTGGAAGAGAGCAAAGGTAAGTTAACAACAAAGTCACACTGAGGATCCTAAAAGTTAACAGATGTAAAGAACGTATAAATCATGACCTTACGTTCTACACAGTTACCCCTTTAAGACATAATTTATGACTGACTCCTGAAATGTTCCTGGTATAATTTGCTTGATAATAGTGCTTATAATTAATCTCTTCTTGTAATCTTACATTTACAGGTTGAAGATGAGGATGAAAGGATAGAGAAGCTGACTGAGGAGTCAACGTCCCCCAGGCTCATTAGCACTGGGGAGTTGAACAACCTACAGGAACTGTACTTGGCCTCTGAAGCCATGGTGGTGTGCCGTTTTAATCCACCAAGCATTCTAAATGCAGTGGCTACCCTACTGGGTAGTTTTTACATCTTTAATATGCAATTTCCAAAGGGTTCTGGTGGGCTAGAAAAAAATGTGTTTCTGTTTTTAGAGCACATGCTCTTAGGTCAAACAAGTGCAACTCTGCCATTGTCGGTAGAAAATGTTTTGTCCGATTTGCAGAAGGTGAAGAATTAACTCTGCCCAGATATTATTCATATGTTGTATTGAATGTGCACGTTAATTCTAAGTCTTCTAATCTATATGTATTTGACAAAGCATTTTCTGAGGATAACGCATTTTTCTTAAGCAGCAGTCCATTTCATTTTATTAAATCTATTTTCCTTGCCAATTTTTTTTGGAGTTTCCTTGATTTATTTCTGGCTGACAACCTTTTGTACAATTAAGCCTTGTTTCACAGTCTTTTGACAGACATGTAGTATAACAATTCAATATAATTCAGTCATATTTTTGTTCTGCTTTAAATACTTGTATTGTAATGTTGTATAGTAACCTTTTCTATGAAGTTGTCAACTATGTTGTTGTTCAGTGTTGTTATTTGGGAAAAAAAAACAGTTAACATAACCATTAAAAATGTTACTGAAGACTATTATGGTGAGGTTACTGTAATTCATTATTATCAGTTAAAACAACCTTTTTTTTCTAACCTATGGGAAATGGTTAAAGCTACCACCTCTTGACTATTTTTAATGGGTTACCAGAGATTCATCACTAGTACCCAAAATACTGGTTTACCATAACCACAAAAAATGGTTATTGTAACCAGTCGGTATGGGTTGAGAAATATTTAACCATTCATTTCAGTTACAATAACTAGGAATTTAAAGTTAGCTTAACCAAAAAGTGGAGGTTATAACAAACAATTATCAAATGTTATGAGCAGCCGTGTTAGCTGTGGTAGAAACAACCATTTTTTAGGGTTATTGTAACCCATAAATAACAGTTGTTTCAACGGAAATAAAAACGGTTAACATAACCTTAATTTTTGGGTTAGTGTAACCTATAAAAATACAGTTACCTGGGATTCAAATCATAACCATTTTGTTTGGGTCACTATAACTGGTCAGTTTTTACAGTGTGTATTCTTGCCCAAAGCTTCACTAAGTTGCAAGAAACTGGTTAATCAGAAACCTACGGCGAATACAGTTCGTAATACAAGAAGAACAACTTTATGCTGAATGCGGGGCAAGATTTAAAAACTTTTGTTTATCAAACTTACTTTGTATTTGTCCCTCTGTTTTCGAAACCTATCTTAACAAGGCAAGAGAGGGACCAAAACAAAGTAAGTTTGATAAATAGAAGTTTTTTAATCTTGCCCCGCATTTAGCAGATTTAGCATATTAGCGTCGCAGGTTTCCGTTTTGAGGAGAAATATATAGCCACTAACTCCAGTACTTCTAACCGTCCATTTTTCAGCTGCACTGAAAGCCCTTGTACTTGGTAATTTATTCAAGGTTTTTAGACTTGACCGTCGCACAGGAAGTTTGCCACTTGGGGATAAAGATGAAGAAAATATGACAATTGTCTTATTCTTTTCATAATTCGCAATGGCAAAATGCCCGTGCGAATGTGATGGCAAATCTTTCAAACTTAAATAAATTACCTAATACACGGGTTTTCGTTGCAGCTGAAAATGGATCGGTTGAAGTACTGGAGTTGGTGGCTTTATTTCTCCTCTAGACGGGAACCTTCAGTGCTAAAAACTGGTAGGCCGAGATTTCCGTAGATGTTATATCGTGCTTTGTTGAAATTTTTTGCGAAAAGAGAAGGGAAAATACACAGTAACTTTGATAAATAGAAGTTATTTACTCTTGCCCCGCATTCAGCATAAAGTTGTTCTTCTTGTAGGTTTCTGATTACTCAGTTTATTACAACTGAAGTTTTGGCCAAGAACACCCTTGCAGATAGGAGATAGTCCGCCGGTAGTTTCCCTCTATTAGTGCGTCAACTTTCACAAATGTGTTAGGGTTGCATTTGAAGGTTATATTTGACTAATTTGACTAGCTATTTGTGCAGCGAGTTCTACGGTCACTATTGACTTCAAACTTGCAGATATAAAACTAGATATATTTGAGGCTTATTTGCCGAAGTTAGAGTAAAGTTTGTCTTAGGGTTTTGAAATTATTGACATTTTTTTAAAATGCGGTTTTAAACATATGCCGATATCTCAAACGTTTTTATACCAATAAGAAAATAAATAGCATTTTCTAAAAGTTCGACCTTTCTTTATTAAGGGTGCCAAAAAATCGTAGAAATCGGTTAAACCATTCCTGTCGAAAAACCCGATTCAAAAACATAACCAACGCGCAAATATATTAGGTTCGGGCCACCTTAAATGACTCTTCAAAATTATCATAAGGGGTTTTTAAGAAACTCGCATTGATGTGGACAGATAATTCTCGTCAGTGAGGGGGTAGACCGCTGAATATTTGAGGTAGATACGTCTCGTTTCAAAAACTTTCCTCAATATCGAGGAGAGACTGAGCAAAGGCGATACTTTCCTCGAACTATTAAGTACATCAGGGCATACTTACTAGTAAGAATATAATGGTTGCTGTCACTTTAGAGTATTTGTCATTATCACTGATAACCTAATGATTCAAAACAATCGGCTCCAGCCACAAGCAAACAAAGAACGGAGAAGCTTAATTTGTGAAAATTTAGGGCAGGGAGCTTAAGGTACCACGAAAAAAACTTCCCTTCATTTTAATTGTTGCCGGCGCTTGAATTTCAAGAGAAAGTTTTGAAAGTTCGTAGGGAGAAAGTAAAAGTCACCATCACGTCATGGGTACCCAACGAGAATAAAGTTCAAAACCACTTAAAAATAGCATTGTTAAACGTATTTTAGTATTTAAACGGTAGCTATAGGCATATTTTTATCCCGGCCCTAAAAATTTTTCATCTGTTAGGATTTCCTAGCTGAAAGTCTAGAGATCCGAAAATTATAGGGATCAAAACTTACCTTTCCGAAAATTTCAGCCAAAAAAAAGGCTCCAGAAAATTCTAGGTGACCTTTTTAGGGTAAAACTCTGTTAAAAATGGGCAATTATGCCGTTTTTTAGATGTTCGAAAATTCTAGGAGAGGTAGGGAAGCAAGAAATTTTACAACAAATGTTCCGAAAATTCTAGATCTCAAATTGTCTTCCAAACAGATGTTTTCCGAAAATTGACGTTGGGTGCCCCTGTCACGTTTTTATATGCTCCACAAAAAAAGGAAATGAGCGGAAATGCGGCTAAAATGAAAGGCGCATTGTGCAGTTAATTGTGTACACATAGACGGTACGAAAAATCGAGCGTTCGTTGTAAATGGTTTTCTATATTTTAATGTGACAAGAAGATCCAACTCGGTGGAAAAATTTAAAAAAAACATCATCCTGTTTATACAGTTGTTTCCAGTGCTCTGACAAGGTACAAAATTATATATAGAACAAGTTTTACATCATATCTACTGAACATCCTCCGTTTCATCAGCTTTACATTTTCTTTTATTATATCAGTCTAAATTGTCCTCCTGCACGTCCAGATTGAAATATCAAAGAGGAAGAACTAGGAACAGTGAGCCACTGAACATTCACCACCGGAGCAGTCACAGGCACAGGAATTGGGACAGTTACTGCATAAGTCAGCACAGTTTGTACCTTGGGGTCCTTTGGCTGACCCAAGGGACGTGGCCGCGCGAAATCGGGCCCCTGGTGCAAGTGATAAGAAAGTTTACCTATCATGAATCGCCTTATGTACCGTAGGTTAATCTAACGATTGACCCGCACCCATGTAAACCTCATATTTCATCGGGTTCCTAAAACCTGCACTACCTATTGTTTTCAGGGATATGGGCATTGTTATGTCACCATCCATATTGTTTTCCCAGCCAATCACAACCTTGTTTGGAATAGGTCCTAATCATGGTCCTAATCTAAGGTAGTCTGGAGTTATCGATTTCAGGCAAGGGATTTCGAATTCTTTGTCGTCTTCCGATCTTTTCGATTGCTGTTGAGTTTTGGTGGCGGAACCGCTAGATCCCTCCAACGGAAAGCAGCCCCCGCCAGCCTCGTCTCCAGGCTAGTTCTGAATGAGTGGAAAAAGGTTGGAACCAATCGATAGACTTTACCAGGTGACGTCACATCAGACATCCCCAAGGGTGATCGTGAATGAGGCTGACGACCCCGCGCATATAATAATCCCGCCAGCTACGAAGGGCTATTTTCTTCATGAATTATTAATGAGTTTAAGAAACAAATCTGAAAGTTTGGTAGCTTCTGGGTATTGCCAGGAGCCTATGGGCTCCTGGTATTGCGGATGGGTTTGATCACCAAATGGCGTAATGCAAAAGACTGAAAAGACGCAGAACAATACCCGTACCACGACACGAAAGCGAACCAACAATACCTGGGAGGAGGGGCTACTTTAGGAATTTCTGGGTTCGGATGTGCCGCTGGGACCCTGGAACCCTTAACCTATACTAGAGCTAGTTCAGATGAATTTTGCTACCCTATGCTAGAGTAAACTCCCCAAATCCCCCCTATCCTAGAGTAGCTGTTTTCCAGAAACCACTGAGGTCACTAGCACAGTCTAGCCAAAACAAAACCTTATCAGTACCACAATCCCTAGTCTAGATAAACTCTTCAACCAACTGATCAGTTTCCTGAAAAACGATACCCTATTATAGACCCAAACGCTCTGATTTATATACCCTATCCTAGAGTAAACTGCTTGAAAACCATACCCTTCACAGCGGCACATACCTATATAGACCATATATGGCAGTACCCCCCGGGTAACAATGGTTTCCCAACACAAAGAAACACCCGAAATTTAAGAATACACTAATTAAACTGAATCAAAACAAGAAATTCAATTTTACCTTCACTCGGTACAGCACACATGGTCACGGCAAGAGCAACTACCAATATAATCACCAAGCGATTCATTATTAGCTAAAGCTGAAAAAATAAATTTACTGTTAGCTAGGCAATGAGGAGCCGCCATAAATGCGTTGTTTAATACAGTTTCTACAATATTGTTTTACTAGTTTGAAAGAGATCAAGAAAGTTTGGGCTGAAATATTTTTAAAATGTGACAATTATTATTATTATCATCGCAAGACATAATATTGGGAGTCCTGTGGTACTCAGTTGGAATTTCTGTGGTACTCGAGGGTGACCTTTTCAGTAGGCGTGTTTCGTCGTACGTCTGCATTTTCTGCGCCATTTTGAATAATTTAGCTCGCGTTATTTACGCCATAAGCAATTGTCATAGGCGAAAATAGCAATCACGTGCATCACTCTGGTTCCGTGGATGATTACACGGAAATATTTGTATTCGGCAAAAGAATGAACTTTGGTAAAGCGGTTTTTATCACTGAGCTGATGACTCTGTTACACTTTTTTCGGTCAATGCCGTTCAAATCGAGCTTGAACTTCGTAGAAACACACAAATAAAGACCAGGTAACATTTGTGCCGTGAGAAGTTTACCCGTGCGTTTGAGTCGATTTACGTATTTTTAGCTTAACCTCTTACATGCACGAAAATTCTGGGATAAAGTAAGCTTGAAGAATTTTATCCGCGTATCAGTGCAGGTTGTTACAACTGGAATGCTTTATTCATGTCTGATATAACTACGCGCGGGCCATTTTGCATGATAAGTATCTCGCTCGCTGAAGCAAGCTAAGTTTAAAACATGTTGAACTGACCTACATGAACTAAAACAATCATGAGATGAAAAGTTTGCACAATGGCAAAAGATTCTGTCTGGTTCTCTGACATCACTAATCTAGCAAAAACCTAATATGTTTCTGTCGCTCCCATAATCATTGTTTTCACTTCAAGTTGTCTCACGCAAGAAGCCCGGACTTTTTAACCTTCGAGGCTACCATTTTCTCGAAGTTTGTTGCGACATGTTTATCATTTTAACAACGTAGAACTTTTTACGATTTACTTTCCATTTTTATCGACCATGCTTGAGGGAGAGTAAGGCATGTTAAGAGTAAAGAGTTAATGAGTGAGATATTTTGAATCCGAGTTTTTTACGAAAAGAAAGTTTACTTTTTAATTCCTGCTCTTCCATGATTTTGAAATAATGCTTGACGACGCAAAAGCTAATCTGGAGCTAAGAAAACTCGAACGCACTCATTAATCTATCATTACTACTAGCCATTATTATTATTATTATTATTACTAATAAAACAGTCCGTATTTTTGCGTACTCAACTACGCTCGAACAGTCAAACAAAAGGTCTGGAGCGAGGCTGAAAACAGAGAGCGAGACTGTGGAGAGACGCTCTATTACGCTAAACCGATTTTGAGAAAAAAACCGACTGTTTTGCAGTCTACTCCTGATCGTGTAATTTGAACCAATTTGCATTTTCCAAGTGAAAAACCAAGATTCCACTGAAATAATAATTTTGGAAAATTTTATCCCGACACATCTAGTATTCCGAAGAAATTCTCTTTTAAAAACTCGAAATTTTTTTTAACGTATGGCCTCATTTATCTTTGCCATCCAGCAATTTCGAAATTGTTTATGCGACTGCTATTTCCTTAAATATAAATTGCTCAAGCTAACCAGCTCTTTAAATTTTAAAACTTAAATTTATGTATACAGTGATTCCTTCTGTAGCATAACTTGTCTGCAAAGATTCGCCTTTTTTCACCAGAGTGTAAGGGTTTACGGGATAAAGGCATTGTCTCTTAGTTTCTCAGAGGACAACTACTAATCAGAACCAAACTTTGCCAATAAAAATTATCGCAGAACTCGAGTTTTTCTATCCGAGACGGTATCGGCAACATATGGGCGTTAGTGTTCGCAAAAATGTATAACGAGGAGCCACGTGAGCCGCATCGAACAGAAACTAGCTAGCATATTTCAAAGACAGAAAACCTGTCATTACATATACTCATGGGATACTCACCTTTTTCTGTTACTCGGTAAATCTTCCGTACGGTCTCGGCTCCTTAATCAGTGCCAGGTGCAATATAATGAACGATCGTCAAACTTCTCTTTTTATTCTTTCTAGTACGTGAGCATTGGCTTTCAGTGACAGTAAATCGTTAGAACTAGAAGTCGGAAGTGGTCGGAAGCGTGGCTCACGCGCAAGAGTTCTGGGTTTTTCTAGGGCGTTTCGTGATTACGGAATGTGTTTCATCTGAAACGGGTCTTGAATGAGTCATACACGAAGATACACAACTACATGTGTATCTTTGACGTACCTTTGTGTCTTTTCGGTGTTTCAGAAACCTGCTTTTTTCCACTAAGAAAAATTCTCAGTTTTCGGGGCAAAGTAGTGTTGATTAGATTCCAGGGTCGCGAGAACCTTTCAAAGGAGGAGACGTGACCGCCCGTCGACCTGACCATGTTAGGTCATGTCAGTTTTCCTTCCGCGAAGTTGATTATTAATATAATTAGAGCAATATTATTTGTCATTGTTTAAGCCAATAAAACCAATAAAGCCAATAGACCTAAAATAGTACACTGATAATACAGTCAACGTGAACTCTACCATTGGTATGGTATTGTTGTGATGCGTTTGTTTGCCCATGCATGAATGATTAAGAGTGTCACAGGAAATATTATCCCTTTTATTCCTAGAACAATTTTCGGATTTTGTAACTCAAACGTATTAATCCGTGGCCGAAATCATATGATGTCACCATATACTGAAGCAAAACCTCTTAAATTTGTCATAACTTTCGAATAGCACTGTTTAAATCTATTGATTTTACAAAAAGGAATTTGGAATTTTCTTTAGCCACTATAGGGCCGGAATGTAAGAGTTTAAGGCCCAGAGTAAGTACACTTTTACTGAATCTTGCCAAACAACGATGGATCTGATTATTTAATTTGCAAACCCTCGCGAAACTCGATCGGTCTGGCACTCTCGTCAAGCTCAGCTTCCTACCGAGCGGCGGTTGCGTTAAACTGGCTGGGTTTACCGTACCAGCCACGAATTTCCTGTCGTCAGGTCTCCTTTTTCTCTTGCCTTGTTCCTCTTTTTTGTTTCATTGTTCTATTTGATTCTAAAATACGATATGTTTGATGATTCAATTTGTAGTAAAAGTGCATAAATCAGATAAATTCTTATTTGTTTATAGCAACTTGGTGTCCACGAATCGTGAACGTGAAAAACAAAATATGATTTCCAAAAATATCATACTACACCGGACCCGGACCTGTCTTGTATCTGGTTGTACATGTTAACTTAGCTAATAAAACGCAGCATTTTTAGAATAATCTTTGTTTAGTAAGATCTTAGAACGGCACGTATAATGGTGAAAAGTGAATGTGGTTTTCGGTTAAGCAGGCGTTTGTGGGGAGGGATGAAAAACGAGCTCTCGATCCCTAAAAACGCCTGTCAGGATTACACTTTACCCGTACGTGAACAAACAGTACGTAACAATTAGTACCAAACAGTTAGGAGTAAACAAAAGAAAACAGTGAAATTGGAGCGTAATACTCCGTAGTAGTCTACCATCTATTTCAAGGGTTAAGTGAAATATTCTAAACGAATGTATACAGTTTTAGTCACTAAAGCGGGCGCAAGTCTCCTCTCTAACTCCTCTCTTTTATCCACGAATCGTTGTAGAATTACACGTGGGAAACAAAGCCAAGATTTCACTAAACTATCTGACCACGTTAACTTTATCTTTCGGGGTGTGGATATACTTTAGCTAATAAACGCAGCATTTTTTCAGTCTTAAGTCAGGTAATCGGGTTAAAACAGGGATTACCTATCATCTAACAACCGACATGGTAATTGCAAGAACACCAATGGTGTGTCTCTGAGTAAGGCGTCTGTTTTCAGTTTTGCATTTCTCGAATGTGGGGAACTGTCGAGCTCTACTATAACGGGGTCGCATTTGCAATGGAGTTACCAAAATGGGGTCGCTCATTTTCGTTTTTTTGGGGGTAAGACGGTTCTTCTTATTTACGGTTAGCAAACGTGCCAGAATGTTTGTACTGTAGATGAAAACTAAAGTGTTCTTCATTTAATCTAAAAAATGGGTCAATTCATAAAAATAGAAAGTGACTAAGTTGGGATCGCGAAAACGAAAATGACATACAGTATTTGCCCAAAAGTGACTAAGATGGGGTCTATAATTGGCCACAGAATAGACCTGCCCCCCTACTAAGGGAGGTGTGTCACCGCAACGGCACGTATAATGGTGGAAAGTGAATGCACCAACTAAGAGTCAGGATTACCCTTTTTTACCTGCGAGTGAACAAACAGTACGGCCAGACAGGCCAGCGGCAAGTACCCAGCAAAAATTAACCGAAGCACCCCCCCCATCCCCCGGGGTGTGTTGCCTCAACCGGTCGGACAAAAATCAAATCACGATATCCCCTTAATAAAATGATGTGCCAGTTTTTCTTGATGTACCCTGGCATTGTGAGATTAGTATGTCGAGCCGTCTGTTGCTTCGACACGGTGTGGGCAGAAATCGATTAATCAAATTTCAAAAAAATAAAACGGCAGTTTGATGATAGAAACTGCCTTCTCTCTCCTTCGCAGAGGCTCCCGCTTAGACTTGCCACAAGTTAAATCGTACGAAGGACTTTTTTTAGAGTCTAGCTCCCGCTTTCCATTTCAATAAAAATAGCAATGATTAAAACATAGAAAGCGCGCGGTGGATGATGGGAAGAGAAAAAGAATGTCTGCCTTCTGCCTCTCTTCTTCTCTTTTCCCTTCCCATCATCCCGTGCGTGTCTTTCTTTTTCCCTCTCCCCAGCCTCCCTGTGACACAAAGAGACCTTTCCCTGGAGAGAAAGAGGGAAATGCATTGAACACCAAGGTATTATTTTACACTAGTTAATAAAGAGGACAACAGTACTGGAATATTCTTTAACCAACACTAAAAGCATCAATCAACAAAAGCACAGAAAATTTTGACCTGATTTAACTATGACCAAACAGTAATACTAATATAGTACGCAAATTTTAGATGAGGATTCACCTGAATACATGTACCACTGACAGTAATACTCTTAGCTACAATGTATGTTCTTTTTCTTAAGAAAATAAGACTCTATTTAAGATTCTAAACAGCCAATATTTGTGCTACTTACCATTTATGTAAGAACCCGTTTAGGCTATAAACTCAGGAAAATGCAGGTTTTCACTGTATTAATGGTACATGTAGTGAACAATAAGAGGCTTAACAGACATTGTCAGAATATATCAATTTTCATTTGCCACTTGTTTGTCCTTTCAAATGCATATTTTGCTCTTATTACCTGCATTAACAAGGTAAATTTGTGAAGAAAATCCATGTTGGAATTTTAAGATGTGCTTTGGGCTGCATTACTGAATTATGGCTGAATTAAAGGGAATTTTCTCAAAAAAAATAAAATGTACCGAAAAGTTCCAAAAGTAACAACCCCCTGAAAGTAGCGACCCTCCAAAAGAAGCGAGAAAAGTTCGCATGCAAATCCCAAAAAGTAGCGACCCCAAAAAGATAATGACCCTTCGAAAGTAGCGGCTATCTTTAAAACAAGGAACGGTGAATCGGGGAATTGGAATGGGAATGGGAATGGGAATGGGAATGGGGAACGGGGAATCTTTAAAGTGGGGAATCTTCAAAAGCGGGAATCTTTAAAAGCGGGAATTTTTAAAACGGCGAGGAATCTTTAAAATGGAGAATCTTTAAAACGGGGAATCTTGAAAAGCGGGAATCTTTTGTAAACGATTATTGTAAACCGAGTTATCTTTAACAGGCTGGTGTGAAATCAATCCTTGCACATTTCCAAGTTCTTAGCTGAATGATTTTGAAAGCGTTGGTCTTGAAAAAGTTTGAATTTGACAGAAATAGTAGTCTGTTTCAGCCAATCAGTTGAATCATGTTGAATGAACTAAAAGCGCCCGCGCTGTCAAAATTTGTTGTTGTAGTCATGTTTTTCGTGTCTGTTATTACCTATACAAATTTAAATGCAATTATTTTTTTAAAAAAGCACATGACATCCCGGCCAATAATAATCATTAAAGGTCTGATAATAGTCTATCATGGTCTCCTGACCCATGCTGAGCGTGTACGTCACTTTTTTTATTCGAGCTTCCCCCGGGCATACGTCCTTCAATATTGAGCGATCCGTCCCAAAAGTAATCTGCAATTTACACTCCGAAGAGAGAATTTGAATTTCTTGTTATATATTTTCTCTAAAATAAAAGTGCTTTTTGCGATTTTTAAAAATTATTTGCTCAATTTTTCTTAACGGTCGCTCTTAAAAAGACTGTGGTTACCACCGCTCAGCTACTACAATTTGTAGCTCATTCATCTCTAACCTATTTGCAATGTTCACTCTAATTTACAGAGAGTGCCTGTAATGGCACACCAGTAGGTAGTGTTTCTTGTGAAAGCCATCCCTCTCTGCTCTGCGTCGTACACTGAGAAGAACGCCTTAGCGGCCTCGCAATGATGCTTATTCATCGTTGAACAAACTACACGCCAACGCCAAAGGATTAGTGTACATATATAGCTTTGCAATGCAGTGAAATTTTACAGACATTTGTATGGAAGAGGCACCACGCATGTCTGTAAATTTTCGCGACTATGAAGAGCTGCAAAAGCGTTGTCAATCAATAAATGTAGATGTAGACGTAGATGCAGCTATATTTTGGCTAGTTTTCAACAAATCACTTTCAAGCTTGGCAGTTTTCTAATTTAAAGGCGCTCTTTCCTTTGGAGTCCATGGATTTTACCTAACTTGTCCACATCAAAAGTTGAAAAAAAACTGTGGAAAGGTCTTTTAGCAGGGTATGGTGATATCCTTTTCTCAACTGGTTCCTTTTCTCATTACTGTCAAAATTTAACATCTTAAATGACTACCACACAGGCTGTTACATTGCAAAATCTGTAAGTGACTACGGTAAAAACCCACAAGTTAGAACCTGGTTTTTAAGAACCTGTTAGGCTAAAATTTGCCAGTTAGGCCTCCTCCATACAAGAACCTATTCAGCCTAAAATTTGAAACTGGTTCCTATTATCTAAAATCTAAAGATAAAATTCTGCACACTTGCGAAAATGGAATAAATTGACATTCAGGATACTCTTTGGAGACAAATGTGCTTAATGACTCTGACTTCACTAATTTAGTAGGTAGATTTGATATAAGGATTACGCTGAGTACCACTAATTACTTTTAGTTCCAATGTTTTTTGTTTTGTTAAGAAAAGAAGAATCCATTTTAAAAGAACCTGAGTAGCCTAACTTTGTGCTAATTAACATTATGTAAGAATCTGTTTAGGCTAACTAAGGAAAATGCAGGTTCTTGCTCACAGGTTTTTACTGCACACACTGTCAGAAATATATCAATTTTCATTTGTCACTTGTTTGTCATCCAGGTTGGGATCTTAAGATGTGGCTGTGGGCTGCATTAATGAATTACAGCTCAATTAAAGGAAGTTCTCCTAAAAAATTAATGAGCATTTTGCCAGGTTAATCAATTTGTGGTTTACAGCAGTGTACATGTTTCAAAACATTACCCAACCGGTGCTTTAAATTAAAACTTTACAAGTGTTTAAAATTCCTCTTGAAATTCTGAGAGGAGCCAGAACAGCTCGAGGAGAGTTAAGAGGAATATCTGTACAATGCTTCCAGTCATTCTTGTCAACATCATACACCCTCAAGCAATAACCACTGGAACTTTCTTGGTTCCACAAACCTGTAACATAAATGGCTCCCTTAAAACTTGTGGCACCTAAAAAGCACTTTGGTGCAGATGTACTCTGAATGGCTGTCCAGATATTTGTAATTGGGTCATACATTTCAATATTCCTGGAAGTTACATTTAAGGCTCGAAGGCTGGTACAGCCTCCAAATAGAAACACTTTAGCCTTTAAAATAGCAGCATGAGAGTATCTCTTCTTTTCAAGAATTGAAGCCACTCTGCACCATGAGTTTGTTTTGGGGTCAAATCTTTCAGCAACATCCAGTAACTGATCTTTTGTCCGGCCTCCAATTGCATACATAGTGTCCTTGTCAGCTGCAACAGACAGTGAAGATCTGGAAATGTTCATGGGTGCAGCTTCCTGCCATAGGTTTGTGTCAGGATCGTACCTATGCACACAGTTTACTTGCTCATCTCCTATTTTCCCACCAATCACATACAAAAACCCTTGGAAATTCACTACAGCTACGCTACTGAGTGGCACTGAACCACCACTTAATGGTGTGACAGATACCCAAGAGTTCACCACTGGATCATATCTCTCAACTGACTGTTGAAAAGCATTGTTGACATAAAGTTTGCCATAAGAAGCACACATGGTATATGAAAAGTTATGACTGGACTGGTCTGCAAGCTTAAATAACTTGCCTTCTGTGGGAAGGTAAGAGATTGTGCTTTTACTGCTAGAGATGACAAGACAATCTTCAGCTATCCTCAGACAGTTTCTTGGTGCTTGGGCAAAATAGCAGTCTTCAGAGCCAGATGAAACATCTTCCATTGCATCTAAGACCACTGACGTGCATCTTTCATCATTTTTCACCAAAGGATGAGGTAAGATTTCCTTGAAAACATAGTTGCGTGACCGGTACATCACACGAACGTTACGAAATAATTCGAAAAATATTTCACGTTGGCGGCACTCTTTTTCTTCACACCACTTGAAAATAGCCTGGAAAACTTCTTCTTACCCCCTTACTCTTATTTCATCACTTGAAATCCACTCTTCCAGCTCTTTGAAGAAGACAATGTTCGTGCGATAAAGTTACTTGAAGTCTCTTTCAGACATGGAATGACCAAAAAATCGGCTACCTCTAGAAGATCGAACGCGTTGTGTTGCGTGACGTCAACATATCCTGTGTACAGATAATCTAACAATTCCTCCATCACAGCTTTGCTTGTGTTTTCTAATCTGATGACTCCTTCTTTCTTTTCTTTCATTTCGCTGTTAAGAGCATTGTAGAAGAACGGACTTGCTGCACATAAAACGATTCTGTGCGCTTTCAAGCGAGCTTGATCGTCACCACAGCCAACTTCTAAAATTACATCACAGAAATGATCGTTCCTTCGTTGAACATCGAGCCGTTTCATCATTTCCACGCAAAACTGTTGCACGTCAGTTTCCTTAATTGGTCCCCACGATATATCATTCATCATGATGTTGATTATGATATCAGTCCAAATGTCAACAAGAAACCAGGAAAGAAAAAAAATAGGTTTCTGTCAGCCTTCCACAGGATCTACGAGCATCAACGGCGCGAAAACCCGCGAAAATGCAAAAAGTGAAACAAATGCGCATAATCGTAGGAGCTTTCCGCTGACAAGATTTCCCGGGCTTTCTCAAGTATTAACTTTATTGCCCCCGCAAGGCCCAGAAGGCGAAATCCCGAGGAGGCACTCTGATAACTCGCGCGTATATTAAGGAAGTACTTACAGTTAAAATAATTATACAGTCAGTATGCCAGAAAAAATCTCGAGATGGTTACGATGACGTAAAGACAGAAAATCCCGTAGGGACCGCTTAGGTACATTTTGTGACATTTATTGTACAGTCAGACTTCGAAACTCTTTTGCGTTACGTGTTATCAGTGACATTCTGTACATGTAGAGCAGTTGTTTTGAAAGTTATGGACCAAAAGACACTCGTTTAGCGCAGATGAAGTTATAAGGTGCGTATAACTGTGTTTATTATTCATTCAAAATATTTCCCCGGTTCTGATTGGCTAAAAGCACTCACATAATTCACCATAACCAGCTACTGATGACCAAATTTGGAAGAATTTTGCGTTTAATCTACTAATGACGTCAAAAGTGCAGCTTCCTTGCAGGTTAATGCCAGGGGACGAGGTTGAGTTGGTCGTTGTGAAAACAAAAATGGCGGAAATTTCACTCGTTTCAAGAGTAAGAACTAGACGAAATAATAGCTTAAAACAGGAAATAACACCCTCCTCGATCTCCATAATTCTTCATAAGATACTCAGCCTCATTCATTAATTGTTAAATATGTAGACACTTGGAAAGTCTGCAAGACACGGGTTCACAAATTTTTGATTGGAAAGACACTCTTTCTCTCTTTGACCGGAATAAGACTCAGCGCCGAACAAGCAATACAAGTGAATCAACGGCTAGCTTATCACTAGCAGAACGTGGACGCTTACAGAAATTCGCCGTCAATCACATCTGTGCTGACCCATTCCCTGTCCACAGATGTCCTTGCGCTATAAAGTTTAAAATGAGACCAGAATGTGCGAGCGTGATTTGATCAAACGTCCTTTCAATTTCTAAGGCTTACTTTCCGGCAAATAAAATGAACTGAATGTAAAAAGTGAAAGAGAATTAGCGAAAATTCAACTTCTAATTAAACCTTTTCTTATGGTTTCGAATAAACTATTCCCGAAAGTGAGAATGTTTTGATCAAAGCTGTGTAAATCGAACTGAAACTGTGCATGGAACCTTGCGTTTCCTGTTTTTATGTCATCTATTGTATGGAATACGACCAAGAATGCTATTGACCGACAATATACAGAGCGGGGACAGCTGTAGTGTCAACTATTACTAGTTACATTCTTCCTATTCTTTGTAGGAAAAGAGAATTGCTCATTCTAAGCGTATCCGATGGGGTGTTTATTCGAGGTCAGCGTCTATTTCAAAATCATACATCTAAATATTAAATCAGTGACTACAGCAACGATCAATCATTTGTAAATCTGGAACATGTTTAGAGTTCCAAAGACCAAAATGTTTTAGAAAAATGGTAATTATCTGGGTATGGGTGGTGCAAATAACCGAGTTGTGCCATGGGCAGCCCTCAAATTACAGGAAACCAGGGCGTAAAGCGCTCGAGACTGTTTCACACAGACTTCTAATCCATAAAAAGCAATAAAACTTAAAGTTAAAAAGATCTAGAATGATGCTTGTTCTTTAAATAGCGATCTCAAAGCTTTTTAACAGGGCGGTCTACCGGAGAATCTTCCTATGTGAACTAATTATAGGGCCATTTATACGAGGAAAAATAAGACGCGTCTTGAATAAGATGGGAGCATGTCTTATCTAAGACGAATACAGCTCGTATAAATGGTTCGCGTCTTATTTCTGTTCTTGACTCGTTTTCGTGTAAGTGTTACCCGTAGCAACGGTAATCCAACATGGCGTACTAAAACTTAACGCATGCGTAGTATGCGTTCGCGTCTTAAGGTTGATTTCCACTGACGCGTTTTTGGCTACGCACTTTAACGCACGTAATTTTTTAATCACGTAAACAAAAAAGAGGCAAGATATAAAGTGTTGAGATTAAATGTGAAGTTGAGCGAGGTTTAACTTTTACATTTTCGTGCGACCTTAAATACATTGCCTCTATTTTATTTGCAAACGTAAATTTTACGCCCGTGCGCACGTAAAAAGTACGCGACAGTGGAAATCAAGACATAAGACGCGAAGGTCATTTATACGAAGTTTTTCTCGTCTTAGCTAAGATGCGTCTTATCTAAGAACAGGTGTTGAGGGCTGTTCTAAAATAAGACGCGTCTCAGCTAAGTCGCGTCTTAGTTTAGACGAAATGTGCCGTTTATACTAAAAGTTCGCGTCTTATTTTTCCTCATATAAATGGCCCTTATAAGCAGTATTGATGATACACACGTGCTGCAATCTGAAAGTTTTAGGGCTTAAAATATTGTATCTCGTTGCTAGGTAACCCGGTAACACTATCCAAGTAAAAATTGAATTTCGTATTTCGCGCGTGTCGAACTGCCAAATGCATGAGGAATTTTTTCGTGCCATGAGAATATCGCTTCCTTTTCGATTTGTTTACGCTTGACTAAAATATCAAATTTACTCCGTAATTCCAGTGACAAGTCAGGGGTAGGGGGAAAGGTAATTATAGCGAAAAGTCTTGAGAGGAAAACTCATGAAAGGTTAAACTTCTCTCGCTGTTCTTGTTGAAGCACTGAAAGCTGTAGGTACACAAGGTTAAATAGTTTCTTCGCTAAGTGGTCAAGTTGAAAGCTTTTTTTCTCTTCCTTTTCATTTAATAGGAGTGGTCGAAACTCGAAATCGAAGTAGGTGATTTTTTATCAGGTTTACGCGAATTAGGTGTAAAACATTTTATTGGCTATAAGTGTGACATCCTGCCTGCTTACTTGATTTTGGCGTACTCGGATAAAATCTTTGTTAAGCATGCGCTTTCAACACCAGGTCTAAGAGCCGTACACTTGGTACAGCGGGCTCAGTTATGATCATCGAATTATCAATAAACGAGATGCTCGCACTCAAAAAACTGTGGTCTGACGCGAGAAGACAAGATTGGCTAGTCCAAAAGTTGGGCTGCGGCGACTTCAAAGGTTTGACGACGCGATTCAGGGAGAGCCTACTTTTCTCCTCCTCACTCGATCAAGAAGACAAAAGGAGGCCCTGCTCGCGGGATGTAAGTGATGTGAAAAATGGAGTTTTAATTTTCCTTGCACGAATGTTTTTCAGGAATGACACCTTTTACGTGAAAACTCGTTTATTTTTGTGTGGGGAAATCTGAGTACAATCGAACCTCCATGTACGACCATCTTTCGCAAGCGACCACGACCATTTATCCAACTGTTCAAAGCACCAAAAGTTTCCCAGTAATAACCCTATAGTTAAAACCTCTCGTAAGAGACTGCGCCCACTTTTTTCTTTTTTAAATTTTTTTCTTTGTTTTTTCTTTAATCTCTTGTGAGAACCTTCATGGAACTACACTAATATCTTGACTTAGAAATCGCTCTAATTCATTCTGAAAAGTGGACGTTTTTGGATTTCTTTTTGGAAGCGACGTCCTGTAGACCGATTCTCTCAATATCAGATGAACACGAACAGTAGTGTTTTATCAAGTTAAAAAAAATTCGCACACCAAGTGGTAGAATTTTCAGACTTGACAAAGCACGTGCTGCGAATGTTTTGAAAGGCTTCAAGCTATGTCCCAGACACTAGTTGTTGAAAAGGTGGATAGCGCAATTGGTTTCCCGAATACTTAACTTCTGGATAGCGATTTATCCGGTGGATAGCGCTATCCGAACGTTCGAACTACCCGGGCCAGATGTGTTGCATTTCTCTGATTTCTGTTGTTATTGGTTTGTGTATTGTTTTCTCAAAAAGCGTGTTGTTAAAAAATGCAAAACGAAAACAACCAAAGAACAACGGCTAGTTAACTATAGTGATGCAAATAAATTGTTAAACTGGACAACACAGTTCGAGCATCTACACGCCTTCAGGAAGCCACTACCCAAAAGGAAAATTTCCTCCGTTAAAAACTGAACAAGAAGAGAGGAAACTGCTCGAGGGGATTGTCACTAAATCTCGACATAAAAGGCGATGAAAATTTCAATGGAATTGCTGACTGGGAAGGATAAATTGTCACTCAACCAGTGCTTGGTAAGATGTCGTCTCTTGCAATGCAGGACAACAAACAACCGCATCTGGCCCCAGTTGTTCAAAAGCTGGATAGCGCTATCCACCGGATAAATCTCTATCCAGTGGATAAGTATTAGGGAAACCAATTGTGCTATCCACTATATAGTGATTTTATCCACCTTTCGAACAACTGGGGCCTGCTTAATAAACTTCGTGTTGTGTTTTAAAACTACAACACGTTTTGACCGGCCAACGACTTTTTTATTCTTTTAGACCGACTATTTTTCTATAGATTTTGGGTCTATGTTTTACTTTTCCTGATGTAAATTAGACTGAACGTCTTAAATAAAACATCATGTGATGTTCAGAAGATAAAATTATCTAAAACGTATTTCCTCCGAGGATGAATTCAAATCCCTCCCTTAGTTACCTTTTCAGACTGATGAATTTTACCGGGTAAAAAGATCCAAGTACGTGATTTAGGCCTCGTCTACACGTATCCAGTTTTTTTTTGGAAACGGAGATTTTTTTCTCCGCCTTCGAAAAAATACGTATCCACATCTAGCGTACTCGAATCGTTTTCGCCCGTCCACGCGAAAACGCTAAAACGATGGAAATACGCGTACGATTGCACGCCTTACAGACACTGTATAATACATGACATAATCATGTAACTCGAATATCTACGCTTTCATTCTTCCACACAAAACCACAAACCGACATTTTCAAAAACACTCCACTCTGGGGACCGTTTTCGAAAAACTGCGCTTTTGGTGCCCGAAAACGCCGTTGACGTGTGGAAGGAAGGCTAAGACGGATGAAAAACTCTCCGTTTTCAAAATATCTGGATTCATTTGGACGGAACCTTATTGAACAACATGCCTACTAAATAGTTATGAGTTTGACAAATATATTTAAAGCTCTCAATGAGGTGACGAAAGTTACCACTTTTCTCTTCCGACAGTGATACGTACCACTACATGTTTCACCAAAAAGCGTCGAGTCTAGCTTTGTTCTGTAATAATGGTATCTAACAAAAAATACAAGCGAAACACTATAATATTACACCTAAATGATAATCATACTTCGCCGTATTATTCAAAGAAGGGTTGACTCTTCTAAACTTTCTATGTATGCGTCCGGTAACAATGGCTCTTTTCGAACGTTTCCGGCCTCCTTGTGCTTGTGTCCCTGGCGCTTCAAACGCCTTGTGACCGCCTCTCTTGGAGCTTCGTGAGGGATTGGGTTCTTCAGGATCTAAATCCATTGGGACTTGTTGAATTCTCGCTCGCGCAGGCCTTACTGTCATGCAAATGCGTTTAGCTTTTGTTCCTGCCCGTTTCTCTAAATTCTTATGAGCTGATCCGCTCTCGCTGGTCGTTCTTTTTCTCTTGGTTCCTTGCGCCGGTGTTTGGGGGCTCACTAGCCGTAGCTTCTCTCTCGCTTTGATTATTATTTCTTTGATCACGTTAGCATCACGTGCGAGCGGGCGTAATGGAAAGTACGCATGGGCAAATGGTTGCATCCGCAGCTGATTGTTCTTAGTTACAGCGGCGTCTTGCCAGTTGTTATGTGCAATTCTGGGCCCTAAACTATCTCCAAACACCTCGTAGAGTTGTTGGTACAATTGAAGGGAGTTAGATGCAAGACTGGTCGAACTCGACCGCGATCGTGTAGAGCCCACGGGAGCTGGGCGCTGGATTACGCTCGTCCCAGCCCACGGAGAAAGATTGCTGCGCAGGAATGGGTGCGAGTTGTTGACTTGAGTCCCGAGAGAGGAGATGGGCACACCAAATTGTTTGGATTTCAAAAGACATCCAGCGGCCTGCTGAAGAAGGAAAATATCGAACACGTTATTTTAATTCAGTGGTTGTGCCAAATAAAACTGCATTATAAAACTAAAATTACAGAAGACAACCAAGCATTAATATAAAGACAAAAGGTTTCTTTCTGGATCTCCTTCAAGAACGGACGCGTGTACTAGACGTCTTTCGATGTCAAGATGACAGCTAGAGAAATACTAACCTACTTCAGGTGCATGACCAGTTATGAGCAAAACCTGAAACTTATGCAAACAAGATAGAAAGTTTTTCACTACCTTTATCAAATTAGGTTAAGTTGGCTCAGTCTCCTAATTAGACAATTCCTCGTTTTTTACAATCCCTGCCAACCTAAATTTGCTCGCATCTAATTCTAATTCTGGGTAACTACCAATAATATGAAGAGGCGCTGTCACTTTTCTTACAAGAAGGGCTCCATAAACTTGATAGGCTTCATCTTGCAAAAGAGCATTCGACTGGGTGGTATCGTCTAGAACTTGCAGTAGCTGATTCCAGTATGTGCGCAGATGAGGCATTACAAACTGTTCTAGTGCCTGGAACAAACAACCACGTAACTTGCCGTTAGATTACTTTTGGAACTAACAACAACGGAAAATATAATCAAGTTTTAAAAGTCACTATTTGAATGTTTACAGCTCCCTATTTTACCGTGTGATTGTCGAGATAAATCGCCGAATTCGACAGGCTAACAGATGTTGGGATTTCATGATGATGAGGGAAATTAAATCTTGGGAGGCTAATTTACACTCTCTACAGACTTCCGGCGTTCTCCACATGAAATATGGATGGGCCACTCTCGACAATCACAAGAGAAAACACAAAACTGCAGTGTAAACAGTCTGATTTTACCTCTGTCCCCAACTCAGTCAGTCCGACTACTGCACCATAATGTGAACAGAAAGGGCGGCCATCATCTAACAACACTTCGTGAAGCGTCATCAATAGCTGCTGTTTTAGGTAGTTAACTGGATTACTACACTTCCTGTGGACAAACAAACGGATGAAATACAGTCAAGCAGAATTAGCGCCATCAATACTGTGTTGGTCATCGTTGCCGACAGAAAATAGCGAGCTTAAAGAAGGGCCCCTTCAACTGGAAGCATTCGTCACCCCCGCCCCACCCCCTCTCCCCCCCATGGGAAACTAATACTTTTTCTAGGTCCTGAATATATGGCAAAAGAGAAGGAAGAGAGAATGGATTGGAGAAAAAAACAACATACGACTGGTAGTGATGGACTTTCAGAAAGTTCAGAAAAATTTCCCTTCACCATCTGTGTTGAAAAAAATCTATTTACCAGCCCATGACACATTTGAGGCTTATGTTATTTTTTAACTGGACGAAGTGAAAAACCTGCCAAGAGACCGTAAAGTGGTATGTTTTCAAGTGCCATTGTCTAAATTCTTTTTAGTTTATGGAAGCATGCGGTGATTTATTGTTGAGGTAGTTAGGGAGCGACAAAAGCTTGTGAGGCGATTTGACTATTGGCTAAATGCAATAAATTTCTGTCCAGACTTACAATGGGAAGTGGCGTAAATAATGCAAGGCGGCTTTCAAATAGCGTGGCTTTTGCCGACCTCGCAGAAACTTTAATCATTCCGCGACTACGATGATTTCTGCGGGAAGAGCTATGCCACTTAAGTTTATATGAACCAGTACGCGGAGATGTTGAGCTTCAAGTTAAGCTATCAGTAAGCGGAACTTACAGATTCAGGAAGTATAACTGTGAGAGATCAGTGAAAACGTTAATGGATTTTCTTTAACCGCTCCGCTGCATTCGTGTACGTCATTTGAATTTTGGGACACGAATGTTTTTCAAACTTTTTCACTATGCCTACAACGCTGAGAAGTGATCTTGTGGCAAACATTTCTTCGAATCCGACAACTTTACACGAGAATTTCTTGAAACATGTTACAACTGTTGAAATCGTGATAAGTTTCGTTTACTTCACCATCATGTTTGTCGCAATTGTCACTGGAAACACTTTAGTTATTGCAGCCTTCGTGAAAAACTTTCGCCTTCAAACCAAGACGAACACTTTCATCCTTGGTTTAGCTGTGGCGGACTTCCTAGTCGGGGTAATCTCGATTCCAGGCTGGCTATACGTCTACAGTTGTCATTACTTCGAAATTATACTTCATCCAGTTGTATATGATCTATACATAACTTATGATGTGTTCATAGGCTGTGCATCGATCTTTCAGCTCACTTCCATCAGCATAGAAAGATGTATCGCCATAGTCTGGCCGATACGACATCGTGGAATTCGCGTGGGAGTTTTTCATAAGATAATAATAGTCGCGTGGATCGCCTCTGCTTTCGTGGCTGGACTATATCCAGTTCAACTAAAGCACTGGGAAGAAGGCTACACGGCCTTTATCTTTTCAATCTGCTTGCCGGGCCTTTCATCGTTCTGTTTGGAGTCTACGTCCTCATTTACGATAGAGCCAGGAATTCAAGAACGCGCGTCTGCTCTGAAATCGCGAGCGTGAATTTTCGCCGCGAGATTCGTGTCACCGGAACCGTCGCGCTGGTAACAGGTGTCTTTCTAATTGCATGGTGTCCGTTTTTCGTTGTTACTGCTTTAGCAACGTACGAAATGGAACGTCTACCCGAACCAGCCGGATTACTAAGACTGATTGCTTTTGTAAAAGCCTTGCACTACAGTAATTCAGGCTTGAATCCAATCATTTATGGATATCGGAACCCAGAAATGGGCAGAACCATGAAAACTATTGCGGCAAAGTTTTTTCCGTGTTTCAGTTTCTGTAGACGGCGGCCAGGCTTACAGCCGACCAGGCTTAGCCGGAGTGGAAATTCAAGTACTCTACCTCCGCAAACGTTAACTGTACCGACACAATTTGAGGGTAGAAGCAGTGCCACTCCCATGGCCACCAGCGTTACATCTGTTGTGGCGTTTGTTAACACTTGTGGAGAAGTGGAAGTGAGACCTGTGAGCGCAGCTGAATGACATTTAAAATTGTTATACACCTTTTCTGAGTACGGGTACGGGTAAACTATCTGTACCCGTCGCCGTAAATTCGGGTAAATTGCCTCTTACGGAAAAACGGATAGGCTACCGGGTGAATAGTGATCGTGATGCCATTATCACATCTGGGAAATCATGCTCGCCTTTTGTATAACTGTACGTGGCAAACGTGTTCGTCTATTCGTACCCGTAGCGAGAAACCGGGTATCTTAAGATCATTATCACTATAAACCAGTACTGTGAAGTCAGAATTCACAACTTATCGTTATTACCCTCAGCCATCAGACTTCTTACAGTCTGGCCTTCCTCGGGTCCTGATCGAGTGACACTGACACTAGCAAGTAGATGCTGTAATGTGTTTCTAAAGCAACAAGCCATCACATACTTTGCAGTTGATTCGCGGGAATAGTAAAGATTTTATTTTCCTTTTTCAGTTTTTTGATTGCCTGTTAAGGGTATGTATAATTAGCTAAAGCGATTTTCCGATGTCGAAGGGCAGCGTTTTAACAAACCCGTTAAAAGTGACAATTTGATGACCAAGTTGAGGATTTCAGTTTACAGTCGAACATCCACTAAGGGCTACCTCTCGACAACGGCAACCTATCTACGACGGCCACTTTTTTGGTGGACAGTCCATACTTTGACTCTTGATTAAACCTCTCTATGAGGGCTAACTCTCTCGAGGAGAGGTTCAAATGTAACTTAAGAGTTAGTAAAATAACTGTCAGGTCATGTCGGACGAAAAATCGAATGACTTGCCACTGGTAACCTGTAACCCAGTGCAACCTGTCTCAGGGCTGGATGACCGGCGAGTAATCCCCCCTCCCCTCATCGGCCCCCCTGTGCGGACAGGCTCGGTGTGAAGGGAAGATCCACGTTAAGGGCGATGAGCTACCGGAGCCAACGGTCATCTAGCAGGGATAATCAAACACATTGCAAGCCAACTTTACTAATGGTGGCATACCTTGCAGTCGTTTTACAGTTTGATTTCGACGATTGTTTAGAGCAGAGTAAATATCTCGCTTTTGTAAACCTAAGCTTCTGTACATGTGTGTGTGTAAATAGCACTGTCTCCCTGCACTTGTGTACATTATAGTTTTCAGGTGCGTGTAAATAGTAAGGGAAATCATGTAAATATGCCCTTAGCCTCATTTAAGTTTTCGCTCATTTCGCACATCTTACTATATACTAATGTTAGTAATGCCGCACTAGTTTCATATTGAAAAAGGCGGAGATTTGTTCATTTTGTCATGGCTTTGTACAAAATTGCTGTTACTGTTATATAAATAAAATTACCGTTCTAATTCTCCAAAAAGTGTCAACTATTTTTATTCAAAACACCTTATGAAACATAACTTGAGACATCGAGACAAGCAGGAAATATTTTGAAATATTGCTCACGGGAAGAAGATTTTTTGGGTGTGATCGACAAATCATGTCGTGTTCTAACATTTTTGTTTTTGATGGACTATTCATATGTTTAGACACTTACTACCTTTCTAAGAACCGAAGGTTATTGTTGGTGCTCTGTATATGATTCCGAAAAGCCTTGAAGGAAAGACCGCTGAGCAGAGCCGTCTTCAGAGATGGTGGAGTTAGCTGATGAAGTTGCGAGGAGTATTGGAAAGTTACCTGATTATGATTCAAAATAACCTTATTTTGGAATGAACATGTCCCAGGTATTAGCTACGTTGGTTAATTAGCTGCAGGAAGAAATAATGGAGGACATTGATGTATTCTATATGGACCCAACGTTTATTGACCCTGAAGTTTATGACTTGTGGCTGCGTGGATTCTGTGGTAATCTTGAACGTCTTTAATTAAGCTTATATTTAATGATTTCTTTTTTATGCTTTTTGCAGTATAAATGCAATGGTCTAACTAAAGACAGGCCTGGCCAGGGGAGGGTAGTGGGATAACAATATTGATGGTTTTCACAGTGTCGTCAACAAAATTAATTGCAAAGTCAAAAAAGCGAGGTTTTACGAATTCCTAGGCCATCCTCTTTTTTCTGTCCGTTTAGCGTCGTCCAACCGACCCAAATTTATGGCATTCCCCCCATAAAAAGTAATGACGTAGAACCATTTTCACTTGAAATAATTCTCTTACCGCTGTCCTGGGGTACCAGGGCCTCCTGTTCCAAGACGTCTTGTGATTTTTTTTAGTTTTTTTTTTTTTCAATCCAAACGACTGACCCAATATCAGGAAACGCATTCGACGCTAAACGAAAAAAAAAAAGAAAAAAAGAGGATGGCCTTTTTTACACTAGGTTGAAGATAAATAGAAAATAAATCTTTGTACAAGTTTCCAGCCCTGAAGCATGTTTCATTTCGAAAACACAGCGATTTGAACTTCCACGTTTTCACAGTGTGTGACACCAAAATAGGAATGAGGTCTCATTGAAAAAAGTCTCTCCTGTTGATTTTCAGCAGTTTAACAATTTCAAGTATTAAAAGATGTGTTTATGTGCACGTATTCTAGCTCTTGAGTGAAAAGGAAGAGCTATTACAGAAAAAGTGAACTCCAAATGTTTTTGTTGATTTCCTGTGGCCATATTGGTGGACCAAAACTGTCCACCAAAATGGCGTCTCCATACAAAGCTCTACAAAGGTACGTGAAATGTTTCAGCAAATAGCTCAGAAACTGTGAGCCACAAAGACCTGAGATTTGGACAAATTGTTTATATATTAGTCTTTTATAACATTTCATTTTCTTGACTTCTTCCACTGGATGGTTTCCAATTTATTTTTTTGTGCCGTGTTTATTTCGTGACAGTACAGTGTAATTATAAAAGGTCACATTGAGATTGGCTATTTGACCAACTTTGGGTCTCTAAGGTTGAACAGTAGGGTTGTCAAAAGTAGCTGGCTGCGGGTGAAAATCGCTGCCTACTTGGTTAGTGTTGGCCGGCTACTCTTGCTTGGCATTTTCTTTGCGGATGGCATTTTTTAAATAAAATATCCCTGGACTGGTTAAGAAACATCTTCTAAAACCTATAGCAAGTGTTTATGTGTCTCTACAGTTGTAGGTACCATGAAAAATGCCAGGAAACTCAATACTTTGCTTGTACCGCTTTGCTCAACAAAATAAATATCACAACAAATGCACAAGCAGCGCTTTCACTTCTTTCAACAAGTGCTCCATGTATGCAGACTAAAAAAGTACTAAAAATAGCTAACGGCAATGTGGCCTATTATGGAAATGTGGGCGGCGGTGCCAAAAAAAGCAAGCCAGGTATTTTCTATGTTGTTTATAAGTGTGTATTTCATATAACATCAATAACACTCACCTTTAGTAACTTAAACATTTGGAATTTAAGTCAATCGCAATGTGTATGTGGACCACTTGACTAAACTGATCTATTTAAACACGTAACGATCAAAATGAAGAAATGAGAAATTTAATGCCTGCACTTGGTAATTCACCTTATAATTCACTTTAGATTTTCAGTAATTTTGGAGAGAAAATAGCCTGGAGAGTGCAGAAGACAGAATTTCAGACCCCCCTCGAGGCTTGCGCCTTTTGCACTCACCAGCGCCTCCATCGCTGGCCGTTCACTTTGACAACTCAGCTGTCTACCTCAAAACGTGACCTTTTATATGTGACCTATAAACGTGACCTTTTATATGGTAGTGTCAGTTTCTCGATTAGTTTAAATTTGAAACTTGCCCCAGTTCCAGAGAGTTAAATCAAACCTTTTAATTTCTAAGGCTTACTTTCTGGCTATAAATAAAATGAACTGTATGTAAAAAGTGAAAGAGAAATAGCAAAAAATTCCAACTTCTAATCAAATCTTTTCATATGGTTTAGAATAAAATATTCTTGAAACTGAGAATGTTTTGATCAAAGGTTTGTAAATCAAACTCAATTAGTGCATGGAACCTTGCACTTCCTGTTTTTATCTCGCCTGTTGTATGGAATATGTGTGAAAATCTCCATTATGAATCGGTATATTTCAAAGAGGTACTCAAAGAACAAGAATTATATTGAACGACAATAAACAGACAGGGTTGTCAAAAGTAGCCAGCTACTTGCAAAAATTGCCGCCTACTTGGTTAGAATCGGCCGGCTACTCTGCTTGGCATTTCTTTATGGATGGCGTTTTTTAAATAAAATATCCCTGGACTGGCCGCTTTAATACTTTGACAACCCAGCCCCCTACTTCAAAACTTTCTGACAACCGACTGACAACCCTGATACAGAGTGGGGGCAGCTGTAGTGTCAGCTATTACTACAAGTTGTAGTTGTAACAAATATGAACTACAATACGCATCTGGGATTGGAAAAGGGCAATTTCGTATGCAAATTCAACTCAGGTTGGCCAACTGTGAACCCGTGACTAGCAAGCTTACTCGTCTGTGATTTGCGAAGTTGGATACTTTAACAAATGATCTTTTTGTTCAATTTTCACCCTTATTATGAAGTTACTGGTCCAAGCTAAAAATATTTAATATCTGTGGAGAAAAATTGACCATTATATTTATCTTTTTGAACTCAAGTTGAAAGGATAGAAAAGTGTCAAGCACAAACATCTAAAATTCAAGGTAATTGTTTGAACAGAGATGTCACAATATTTTTCAAATGACCATTTTCAGTTTGGGAACGGTTCGAATGGATGTCTAAACTGTTTGAACAGATGTTGCAATCCTTCTGAGCGGATGCTAATTTTTATTGAACAGATAAGCAAATCATTTTCAGAATGGTTGATCAATCACTTTGAGAGGCTTTTTTAAAGCGTTTGAATGCATAACGAACAACCACTAGTGTCTATTTTGCCTTTCACGGTCACAAATACTGTATTAATACCTGAATTGAAAAAGATCTCATTATACCCAAATAATGCCCAAAACTGGAAAAAGACTGGCCGAGCCTGAAAAGAATTTTTCCTAGTCATTTTCAAATTCCTTTTCTTTCTGCTAGAAAATGAAGCAACTCAGAGGCTTGAATGTTATGATTTATCAAAAAACCATGGAGCTTCACATTCTATCATTACTAGTGACACTCATGACCAATTTCGCCTGTTCTACATCCTGGAGCGATTCCTTCAGTCTCCTCCAATGCTAGATAGACAAATGCTATTACAGATTTCACCAGATGTTCAGGATATGCTGATTGAAAAGTAAGACAATCAATTTTTCTCAGAGCAAAAACTGGTGAAACAGTCACATAATTTGTAAGAAAACTAAACCTGCTTGTAAAAAGAATAACATACCACAAACTGTTATTAAAGTTAAGCTTAATGGACTGCATATAAGCCAGAGATGCCAACCTCTGGAGGCTTGAAATCTGGAGACTTTTTCTTTTGCACTACCACCTCCTCCTCCCCCTCCCCCCCCCCAAATCTTTAACCCACCCCACCATTAATTTTTTTTTGTTGTGCAAACAAAAAGTTTATAGACCCAGTCCCCAAGCCTTGATTGCACGATAATGACGAAAATAATCTTTGATGAGAGGATTATTATTCTTCTGCTGGAAAGCATATATTAACTTCTATCTGGGAGATCATAGTTAATTGTCTGAGACCATGCAGCTGTACATGTATCAAGGATTTTCCCTTGTCCTTTTTGACAAATGGCCATTCCCTTGATATGACCACCTCTCTATTAGAAGAGATCTTGAAACAACAGCCACATCTCTACAATGGCTATTCATCATCTTGTTCTTGTTCTTGGGCTGGGAGTGCACCAGAGGAATATTAATGGGGTTATAACCAACAAAAATGCAACATGTTCCACCAAAATGAACTTGTAATTACCCTCTTTGGAAAAATGACGCTAACCATAATCATTGAAATATGTTAGAAAACTAAGGGATAGGTAACTGATCGCTAATGCCTTTGAAAATCATTCTTTACAACATGTAAATGCTTGATACTACAGGTGTAATCACTCTTAGATAAGAACATGAAAATCAGGCTTAACCTAATTGTTGCAGTTCAGGATCACTTCATTCATTTTGTCCTTGCACTTTGATAGTTACTACCAGTTTGATAAAGAAGTGGTGCGAGAACTGTTGGGTAAAAAGCTGACTGGGCGGTTAAGAAAGGATTTAGATGATGTTAGCGAGAAGACAAATATAACTCTCAAGAGTTGTCGCCGACAGGTTTGTACAAGTTTCTAGACTAAACGCTTGTAAAATAATATAAGATTAGAGTAAAACAGTTTGTTTTTAAAAAATTTAGTAGAAGCCTTCTGAAAACGATTGCCAGCACCTCATAAGGGCCTGGTGAAAATTGTTTTATCCACACTGCTTTATAAGGGAACCATTCTTTGTGACAAGTAGATATTGATCATAGTTTAATAATGGTGCAAGTTTGTACATTTTTACACCCTCAGCATAGCCTGTGTGGCAGGCACAAAAAGGGGCGGGAGGTGTGATAGGGAAAAAAGGCAAAAGGAAAGGAAGTGCCTGCTATAAGAGCTAGTGTTTTTGTATTCTGCCCACCAATTCCCTAACTAATCCAGTAACATCAATATGTCAATATGTGACCAATCACAATTAAGTAGCGACCCCTTCTCAGCATGGCCCAAACTTAATTACTTTGTTTACTGGAAATTGTCAAGTCGAGATGATTTTTTCAAATGTTATCATAATTGTGCAAAGTAAAACATTTTTACTCTTCTCAAGTTAATACAGAAAAAACCTTTGCTGTTCCCTCATCAAACTCGATGGGCGGAAAGTACAGAACAGTTGCCAGCCTGAATATTTTATGAAAGGATAATTATATACTTTTATCAAAAAGCTCAAGGAATAATTGTTACCGAAGCTTCAGCCCTTTCTTTACAAACCATTTCAAAGTTCATTCAAGGCGGTATATGATTTGCAGAAAAGTTGCATGTCCAGGTTCTAAAATTCTTCCAACAATTGTAGCTGGTGCTCTTGCCTGTGAAAATTGGCCTCGCAGATGACAAGAATCGCCTAGAATCACCGCTTGGTGTTTGAACAAATCCACTATACAAACACAAAACCTCCTGAGCATCTGCTGCCTACAGTTGGTTCTAGTTCTGGTTTCAACGTGACGTTCCTGCATGATTGGAGTAGTTTTGATCTTCCAAAGTTTATGCCAACAGGGTTCTCAATAGAAGGCGGCACCCGGCGATTGATCGCCGCTTACTTTGGGATTTATAGCCGCTTACTTTATGTTTAAGTCGCTTTTCTTTGCTTTGTTTTGACACCTCTGGCTTTGCTGAAGAGCCTCCTACTTTATCAGTGATCACCTCCTACTTAAAAATCTATTGAGAACCCTGTGCCAATAGATCTAGAGAGAGTCAATGGAACACATTTCCTTTGATGCTGCATCATGGTTGTTTCTTACTAATTATGCACGTCAATAAGTTACTCATTACGGCTCAGCCAATCAGGAATTTGGGGATGCCAATTAACGTCTGCAGAAATGAACAAAAGGGAGTCCTTATAACAGGTGTCCCTTACCCTCTCTCCCCAATCTCCTTCCCCTAACGATGCCTGCTACGTAGGTTAGGTCAGCAACACCTGATAGCTCCTTCGTGGGCTCTGGTGGGATTTGAAATGTACAGTGGAACTCCATTAATACAGTCACCAATGGGCCCAAAAGAAATTGGCCCTATTAACGAGGGTTTTTTTTACAAGAAAATGTATGGTGGTTTTTGCCAGGCAGCCAAAAAAAGGTGCCTGTAATAACAAAAAGTAATAACGAGGTGGCCATATTACCGAGGTGGCCATAAGGCAGGGTTTTACTGTACGTCATTAAAATAATTGGTTGCAAATTCTTAAATTAATAATAATAATAATACATGTAAGCTTTATTTATCCATCTTTAAAAATAATGGATTTAAAGGGGAAAAACATAAACTAGGAAAATACTATTAAGTAAATTTCTAAAAGGTATTGAAAATAAAAATGTACAGATCACAAAAGTAGGAGTCTTACAGCTTTTGCTAAAGACAAGTTAGTACATGTTTGTCTTTGCGTTCCTGACTTTGCGCCAGTACCGGACAGCGGTACTGTAGATAAGGACACGCGCCCTAGACGCTCTCGTGTCTCGCTCTTGAGGTTGTTCTGTATTTCGCTGTTGTGCCTACAGTAGCATTAAAGTAGCAGTTGCTTTACCTGAACCGTGTCATCGATCGACCGACTCTCTCTTTACTGGCGTGGTGGCAGCGCTTCCGGATCTACGCCAAGAAACCGAAAAGAAAGCAAAGCCAGAGCTACCCGTACAAACGTCGGTAAGTCGATACTTCGAACACCTTCGTCGCCCAAGCACGATTTATTCGTAAACTTGCAACCAAACCACAACTATGGCGAGTACCCTCCGAGCCCCAAAACAGTGGAGCCTGTCAAAGAACGAGTCCATCAACAGCTTCGAGAACTGGAGACAAAATCTGTTGTACACTTTATCCCTCGACAGCAATTTCGCTCCTTTCCCAGTCCCAGCCCCTACGCGGCCTTACAGATGACGGGGAAACCATCCCGATCTCCAGACGCAAAACGGCCCGTCAGAAGGTCAATTTTCTCGAACTAATGCTCGGACAAATAGCCAACTATTGCTCAGTGATATCCAGGACCTCTCTCGTGAAGAACTCGACTTCGATTCACCCTGTTTGGAACATGATTCGTGCACATTTTGGCTTCCAAGTCACAGGCGCCCACTTTCTAGATTTCGCTGGCTTACATTTGGAAGCAGATGAACGCCCAGAGGATCTTTTTCAGAGACTGATGGCCTTCGTGGAGGACACTCTACTCCGTGCAAATAGCCTGTCACACCATGGTGAAGTTACCACAGAAGATGAGGAACTCACCCCCACCCTGGAGAATTTCATCGTTCTCACCTGGCTTAAACTGATCCACCCCGAGCTACCTAAGTTAGTGAAACAGCGGTATGGAACTGAGCTACGATCACGGACTCTGGCCTCCATAAAGCCAGAGATATCTCAGGCCCTTACTTCCCTGCTCGACGAAATACGCACCGCTGATGATGCCAAGATCATGCGCACCGCTGTCACTAACTACCGCAGACCTCTCGGCGTCAAAACCCCGTATAAGGCGACTACACGACCTAGCCGCCCCACTAAGTCCTGTCCCCTTTGCAAACAGGCAGGTCGCCCCGACAACCATTTCTTGAGCGAATGCAATTTCCTTCCAGACCAAGACCGCAAATACATCGCGAAGGCCAGACAGATCGCCGACATCTTTGATGCCCCCCATGAACCTGAGACCACACCCGACATGACCGACCCAGAAAGCGACACCGACGACGCTAGGCCTGGCCCAGGCCCTAAGGTCTTCCGCATACAGACCCGCCAGTCACCGTACCTAGACATGTTCTACTCCCACTACCCCGTACGAATCACCATCGATAGTGGGGCTACTGGAAACATGATCCGCCACACTGTCGTCCAACGTCTTGGCTGCCACATGACATCTAGCTCCCAGTCCGTCCACCAAGCAGACGGCTCATCCCCCCTTCAGGTCGTCGGTGAGACACGCTTCTTATTAAGCCGCGAAGGCCGAGATTTCACCTTCGAAGGACTCGTCGTTGAGAACCTCGACGTGGACATACTGGCAGGCACCCCCTTTATGGAAACCAACGATATTGCAGTACGCCCAGCTAAGCCCCAAGTGATCCTCCAGAACGGTTCCATCGTCAGTTACGGGTCCCCACACCCGGCTACAGTAAACCCCGCCGCACGTCGTGCAATAGTACTCCGCTCTCCCCCCACGTCAATGACCGTCTGGCCCGGAGAGTTTGTTGAGGTCGACCTACCACACGACGCCCCCACTGACTCCGAATACGCCTTAGAGCCTCGAACAGATGCCCCCAGCGTTAGGCAGTTGTCAGCTTCCCAACTGTGGCCCACCCCACGCATAGTCTCTAGCGTGGCAGGAAAGATACGTATTCCCAATCTCTCATCCGAGCCGCACTTCCTCAAGCGAAATGAGCACTTCTGCCAGGTACGCGCCACCTTCACACCAGAACCCCTCGGCGACAACTCACCCCCCAACAGCCAAGCCACCTCCCAAACCATCAGTACCTATCCCAGGTACAAAACACTCGTCAACCGTACGCCTTGACCCAGACAACTTACTTCCCCGGGATATAAGAGCAAAGTTCACTTCGCTGTTGGACGAGTATGACCACGTGTTCGACCCAAACATCAAGGGCTACAATGGTGCGGAAGGTCCGTTCGAAGCAAGAGTCAACATGGGACCTGTAGAACCCCCCCAGCGGAAAGGCCGTCTACCACAGTATGCCCGTCACCAGCTAGTGGAGCTCCAGCAGAAATTTGACGAACTTGAAGCTTTGGGTGTCTTCAGTCGCCCCGAAGACATAAACGTCACGGTCGAGTACCTGAACCCATCATTTCTCGTCAAGAAACCCAGTGGTGGCTCCCGCCTAGTTACCGCATTCGCTGATGTCGGCCGCTACAGTAAGCCACAACCTTCACTCATGCCAGATGTGGACTCCACGTTACGCCATATCGCCCAGTGGAAACACATCATCGCATCGGACTTGACCAGCGCTTTTTACCAAATCCCCCTCTCGCGTGCCTCCATGAAGTACTGTGGGATAGCTACCCCATTCCGGGGAGTGCGCGTATACACACGGTCGGCCATGGGCATACCCGGCTCTGAAACGGCACTGGAAGAACTTATGTGTCGCGTCCTTGGTCACCTTTTAGAAGAAGGCGTCGTCGCCAAAATCGCAGACGATCTATACTGTGGGGGAAACACGCCACAAGAACCCCTACGAAACTGGAGGAAGGTTCTAGAAGCCCTCCACAAGTGTGACCTCCGCCTCTCCGCATCGAAGACGATCATCAATCCTCGGTCCACAACAATACTGGGATGGATTTGGAACGCTGGCACTTTAAGAGCAAGCCCTCACCGCATCGCCACCCTCGCCTCGTGTCCTGAACCCGAAACCGTTGGCCGCATGCGATCATTCATAGGAGCATACAAGGTGCTCTCCCGCGTAATTCCCGGGTGCTCGTCACTCCTTGCACAACTTGATGACACCGTAGCTGGCCGCGAATCTAAAGAACACATACAATGGTCAGCCGACCTCCGAACTTCGTTCCTCCATGCCCAGAAAGCCCTCTCCACTGCTCGCACCATCTCGCTACCCAAACCAAGTGACCAGTTGTGGATTGTGACCGACGGGGCGGTCCGTAAGCCTGGAATAGGAGCCACGCTTTACGTCACCCGTGACAACAAACTACATTTGGCAGGGTTCTTTAGCACAAAGCTACGTGGCTCACAACCGACATGGTTACCGTGTGAGGTGGAGGCCCTAGCTATTGCCGTTGCCACCAAGCACTTCAGCCCGTACCTAATCCAATCCCTTCACAAGGCCTGCATCCTAACCGACAGCAAACCGTGCGTACAGGCATTTGAAAAACTCTGTCGCGGGGAGTTTTCCACTAGCCCTCGCGTCTCCACCTTTCTATCAACTGTGAGCCGGTATCAAGCGTCCGTCAGACATGTATCCGGATCTGCGATCCTACCCTCTGATTTCGCCAGCCGCAACGCACCCCCTTGCGAAGACGAAGCCTGCCAGATCTGCGCCTTCACAAAACTCACCCAAGACTCCGTTGTCAGAAACACATCGGTACAGGATATACTGCGTGGTGATGAGCGCCTACCCTTCACCAGCCGCACTGCCTGGTTAGCCATTCAGGCCGAATGTGCCGATCTGCGGCGTACTCGCGCCCACTTACAACAAGGGACACGCCCTTCGAAGAAACTTACCAACATAAAAGATGTTGAAAGATACCTGAACGTCGCTACCATTGCAAAAGATGGCTTGCTCGTTGTCCGACGTGATGAACCCCTTGTACCTAGCCGCGAGTGCATCATTGTCCCTCGACAAGTGCTTGATGGACTGCTGACAGCCCTACACTTGCAGCTCACCCATCCGTCGAGCCATCAACTCCAGGCTGTAACCAACCGGTACCTATATGCCTTAGACATACACAAGGCCATCGACCGCGTGACCCAAGCTTGCCACATCTGTGCCTCTCTACGCCAAACTCCGAAAATGCGCGTGGAGCAGTCGTCCTGCCCCCCTCCCGACGCAGTTGGCGTATCATTTGCCGCAGATGTCATCAAACGCTCAAGACAACTTGTGCTTGTACTACGTGAGTGCGTGACATCGTTTACAGCCACAACCCTGCTGGAAGACGAGCGTCACAACACTCTGCGCGACGCTCTTATCCGTCTTTGTGTCCAACTACGTCCACTAGATGGACCAACAGCCGTCATACGTACCGACCCAGCCCCAGGATTCAAAGCACTCAGGGATGATCAACTACTGAAACACCACAGGATCACCCTTGAGATCGGCGACGCCAAAAACAGAAACAAGAACCCTATTGCAGAGCGGGCAGTACAGGAGGTCGAAAGCGAACTACTCCGCCATGATCCACTAGGCGGTCCAGTAAACCACGTGCAACTCGCCGTGGTCACAGCCAATCTAAACGCGCGCCTTCGCTCACGTGGTCTTTCCGCAAGAGAGATGTGGACCCAACGTGATCAGTTCACAAACCAGCAGATCCCCCTACAAGACCAGGACATCATCCTACGACAACATACACAACGGTTGTCTAACCACCCCCACAGTGAGAAGTCAAAGACACCTATCTCAAAGAGCACCCCCACTGACCGCGTTGCTGTAGGTGATTTAGTCTACCTCTGTGCCGATCGGAACAAGACCAGAGCCCGCGATCGCTACCTTGTCGTAGAAATAACCGGCTCGTTCTGCAACGTCAAGAAATTTGTTGGCTCCCAACTCCGCAGCACGTCTTACCGAGTGAAGATGTCTGAGTGTTATCGAGTCCCATCCGAAGTCGTGAACCACAGACCACCTGCTCCCAATAGGGACGCAGACTCATCATCTGACGAAACTCCACCAACACAGCCAGAACCACCGCCTCCGCCAACCATTCCGTGCGCGATCTCGACACCTTCTACCCAGGAATTCCCCCACCTTGATGACTTCCATACCAGCCACGATAAGTCTCACGATACCGTGACCGTGACCCACCCTGATGAAACCAGAGACCCCTATGCTAGCGACAGCGAATCAGATGCCACCCCCCCTCCTCGCCGATCCACACGTGAGCGACGCCGGCCCGCACGTTTTGAGGACTTTGATATGGATTAATTAGCCAGTGGTCCTCGTGACCCACACTAGAAACTGTTAAAGTTTTATTGTTATTCATGTTAGCCGTTTACATGTACCTAGATTTTTCTATAACCATTGGGCTCATACCATATTTGTAAGAGTAAAGAAAGGAAAAAGAGGCCACGCCAGTACCGGTCAGCGGTACTGTAGATAAGGACACGCGCCCTAGACGCTCTCGTGTCTCGCTCTTGAGGTTGTTCTGTATTTCGCTGTTGTGCCTACAGTAGCATTAAAGTAGCAGTTGCTTTACCTGAACCGTGTCATCGATCGACCGACTCTCTCTTTACTGGCGTTGGTATTTCTGCTGAACCTTGTACAGATCTTAAGTTATAGCCATGGCTGGTATTTGGCTTTGTGAGAAAAATTTTATTTGGGTGTTTAATATCATTATTACAATATTATTCTTTCTAATTCATGCATTGTCGCTACTTTGCACCTGTCCTCTAACGTTGGAAGGGATGTTCTTGGTGTCCCGATGATATCTAGGCACCTGTTTTGTATAGACTATAACTCCTCTGTAAGGTACTGTAAACCACCCCACAATGGGGAGGCATATTCGAGAAGTGGGTGTATCTTGGTACAACATGTCGTAATGCCAATCTCTGTATGTAGGTTTGCTTTCCTGCATTCCCTCAAATAATACAATCTCTGGCTGGCTTTCTTTACTGTCTGTTCAAAATGGTAATTCCAGCATAGGTTGTCTTGTTGCCATAGCCCCAGTAGCTAAAACTTGGAAAGTAAGTAAAGTACTGGTAATATTTTAAAGTAATATTCTAAAGTAAGTCTTAAGTAATATTATTTTCTTGGTGACAAGAGGATCCTGCAATCCTAGTCTCCAGGTTGCTTTACCCATGCGTGGCACCTACTTATACCCAGCTTTGTGTGGACTTCCACTAAGAATGAGTGGAATGCCTGGCAGAACGCTAAGCCTTGGCAATGCTTATTTTGACCATCTATCATGAAACTTATGCAAAGGCTTTCTTTTTGCATCTGCATAATTTGCATGTTTAGCTGTTTGTTTAACTTCATTTATTTTCCAAGCACATTGTTGGAGCAAGAGCATTTTGACCTTTGATTTTTGTCCCCCATACTCCATGACCTTTGGTTATTACATGTACTAGTAACTACATGTACAAGTACAGTGTACTGTTACTTTAAAAGCCCATAAACACCTGAAATATTTCTGGAATGCTGTCTTTCTTATGGCCAGTCACTTTGGGTGTCAGAACAACTGAGCTTGCCACAAAACCACAAATTAATAATTTGCTGGTTAGAATTTAGTTTTCTCATGCCTGAGTTACTTTTTCTTGTGTTCACAGTTTTATAAGTTCCACAGTAAACAAGCTAAAAAAAGAATGTCTGTTTCCAATTTGCATGTTGGACAAAAAAAGCTATGAGTATTTTAACTTCTAATATTATTATTTTGTTTAACATTTTGCGTTTGTATTTACTTAATAGTTTGACAATGTGAAAAATGTGTTGAGAGCAATAGAGGAGGCTGAGAGGGCTGGGCTTGTTGACACCATAAAGAAGCTGTTTTTGCTGTCTGATAATTTAGCAAGGTAACTCAGTGAATGACAAGTAACGTTTTTACTGCGCTTTTCAGAAACAGGCAAACTCTAAAGTTCAAAAGCCACCTTCACAATTGCATTTTTTGCTGCCGTCAATCATAATTACAATATCATAAGCAACAAACCTTTAAACAAAGAAACACTCACAACAGATTGAAATCCACCAATCACTGATCACAAACCATGACCTTTTGAACCTGTTCAAGTTAAGTCTTGTTTGCTAAGATGATTGGCGCCAGGGAAAAATGCAAACGTCAGTTGGCTTTTGAACTTCATAGTTCGTGTGTTTTTGAAAAGCGCCATAACTGACTAACATGTACATTGTAATGATGATATTATTTAGCTTAATGTGTTTTAAAAGAAGTAATTTCTGTAGAACCCTTTGAAGACGGGGAAGAGGAAAGGGCCTACTGGATGGAGGGGACCATCCAGAGGGGGGCTAAAAGGATAACTGAGTATGTCCATCAATACGTATGCACTATTCAGAGTAATGTTATAAGTACTGCCTTTGAATGAGCACTGCCTCTCCCTCTTCATCAAGAATGTAATGCCTTTTCAGCAACATTTGTTCTTTGAAGACAACTCAAAATGAAAATTAACATTATTATTGTAACCCATCTTCATTAGCCTGCTACTAAAGAGTGTAAGCACCACACAAATGGAAATTTATTATGTGTTTTAGCTCTTTGTGGGAGAAATAATAGAGTTCTAAAAAGTGATGTGTGAAAAATAAATTTGTGAAATTATGGGATTTGTCAGGATATTCTGAAAGAACAACATCTATATTTGACTCACTGCTAATGCTATGAACTCAGTCAAATTTAGAAGGATCTGTATGGAGTCATTGGAGCATAACTGGGCTAATATCTCAGAGACAATTTGCCCCGAAATGCTGGTTTTTGGCAAGTAGACCTCTTGGTTGTTGTTCTTTCAGAATATCCTGACAAATCCCATAATTTCACAAATTTAATTTTCATCTGTACATTGTCTGGGTAACTTTAAAATGGAAATAATACTGTTTTGCAATGTATGAATTTAGTCTCTTTATATACCGGTAGTTTACTTAACCATTTGTGTGTGTTTCTCTGTTTTCTTTGTTCTTGTGTCCCTGACCTAAACATGTAAACATCAGTCTTTTCTTTTAACTGGCTGCCTGGCATTTTTAACTCTTAGGTTATTTCGGGCAGCCAGCGCCCCTATCATCGTCTGTACTATTGTTATAAATTTTTATTTCTTGTATATTATGGGGTGAAATAAAGTGTTGTTGTTGTTGTTGTTGTTGTTGTTGTTGTCATGACATCATCACTTTAGAACTCTTTTGTTAGGGGGTTTACAATGTATTCTGTATTGATTGCCAGTGTGCATTTTCTGTTGTGTTGATGGGGAAACGTGTTTCACAGTCAAGGACTGGTGACCTTAGGTGGTCCAGTATATTATTAAATAGTGTGTATTAAAATAATGACTGAAAATCAATAATGGAACTGTGGGGTGAAGAATAAAAATGAAAGAAGATCATCACAGTTATAGACATGTCTGTGCAGTTGCGAAAAAAAGCCTGAAAAACGTCAGGCTTATATGGGATTTGAGCCCTTGAATTCCATGCAATACCATTGCAGCACTCTACTAATTGAGCTATTTGGCTTGTTAGCTCAACAGTAGAGTGCTGCACTGTTATTGTAGAGGTCAACGGTTTGATTCCTGAATATACAAGCCTGAATTTTTTCAGGCTTTCTTTTCAAAACTGCAAAGTTAGTGTCTATAACTGCAATGATCTTTCATTTAATAGTGTTTATTCTCAATTTGAAAATTCTCATTACAGTTGTACCAATTTCTACCAGTTAAGTAGTGACATTAAAAGGAATCCTAAGAGTCCTAAGAGTCCTAAGAGTGATCAGCATCAAATTTCTCCTTGTAATATCAATGCTTTGTAAAGTTACAGAGTGGTCATGTGAATTACTGACATGTTCACACACGATGAATTTGCTTGATATTTTGTCAACTTCTCCCCACTACTTCTGTAGGAAATGAATGGGGGTAACAAATGAGAATTTAAATTTTGATCTGAGGGTTTAAAGGGTTAAAATAAATACAAGTCAGGATAAGGCCTTACAGAGTTCAAAGAGGGGTGGTGACTGTATCATTTGGTCGAGTCCATGAGTTTACTTTTTGATTTGGGTTTTCTTTAACAGGCAGTATGCATGTATTTGTTTTATGGCAATTAACAAGATAGAAACAGGGAAGAAAAGGTTGGTAATTCAAATGCCTGTCAACAATGATTCAACAACTCTATTCAAGTAATAATGTTTTGCTTATGAAAACAGTTACTGGACTCAGTTCACCAGACTGTTCAAACAAAACCCACCGCTACATGTACACTGTATGTCTATAGTTTGTTGTTATTTGATTTTTATCCACCTGACAAAATTAATAATCATTATTTTTAGTTTTTTATAAGTTTTCTCAAGATTTTCAGCTTTAAATAGCACTCAGGATACTGTTATAGATAATCGCGTGTCATCCCTACCATGCATCTGAGAGCCCGAAACAGGCTATTGTTGCAGGGGTGAGAATGTTACGTGCAAGCAAGGTTTGCCTCTCTTGCTCACATGTACAAGTACATGTAATAATTTTATTTAATTCTTGTCTGGGCAACGATCCCAAGGTACTGTCACAGCACTCTGTCTCAAATTAAATAGAGGGGACATTGAGATTACTAAGCGAGTCTTTTGAAGAAGAAGAAGAAAATGATACGTTTTTTGCATCAAATGGAAACTTGGAAAAAGTCCAAGCCCCAGATTGGGATTCAAACCCATGACCCTCTGGGATTCGAACCCACAAATCTCATCTGGGGCTCCTATAGTTTCCATTGATGCAAAAAACGTATTGTTTTCTTCTTCTTCTTCAAAAGACTCACTTGGTAACTTGATGGTTGCATCGCTGATATGCCTTAATGTGACTGCGTGATACAGCAGTGCCAGATCCAGACCTTGAGATAAGGGGGGTGCAGTCTCCAAAAAAATTTTCTTCGGCCCTTTGGGCCTCAGTTTGGTCTAAAAATAAAGGGTAGGGGGCGCCCCCCCAGGCCCCTCCCCTGAATCCACCACTGTGCAGTTCAGAGTCATACGTGCTTGTCCGGGTTTGACTATGTGACTGTGCGATGCAGTTCTACTCAAAGAACCACATTTCACCCTTGCTCGCCATCAAGTCTCCAGTGGCTCAGTGG